TTTGTCCAGAATATTGTGCACACTTCTGGTTACTGTGCTTCTAAAGGATATTATAGAATTGGGAGTTGCAAAGAAAAGAGCAACCAGAATAATCAGTGGGCTAAAGCAACACATTAGTGAGAAAAGGTTACAAAGTTTGTGCTTGTTTAGCTTAGGAAGAAAGGTAAGTAAGGAGACAGGATAGAGGTGTCCAAGATGTGGAGAAAATAGGTAACAATATTTCCTTCTTCTGTAATACTGCAACTCAGAGTCATCCCATGGAGCTGAATTGTGTGAGATTCCAGGACCACTAAAAGGAAGTACTTTTTCACACAGTGCTTACTAAAATTATGGAATTTGCTACTGTAAGATACAGTGATGGCCACCAACATGGATGGTCTTAAAAAGCAATTAGACTGATTAGTGGAGGATAAAGCTGTCAGTGACTACTAGATATGATGGCTATATATTCCTCCAGTATTGGAGGCAGGTTGCCTCTGAATACTTTTTGCTGGGGAACATAAATGGGACTGTGTTCTTCCAATTGTGTGCTTCTGGGTTTTCTTGTGGGCCTCTCATTGGCTGTCATTTGAACAGAACGTTGGACTCGATAGGCCTTGGTCTGACCCAGCACGGCTCTTACATCTTGCATGTCTTGTGGAGGTCCCTGGCTTACTGCATTCAGGACTAAGCCAGAGCCTTTGCTTTGGGATACAGGCTTCAACTCTTGATAGAGTTTTGGAACAAGTTTTCCTTGCTCGCTGTCCCCATGCCAAGTGTTTCCTTCAGGAGCCTGACCTGCACCATACTTTCCCAGTACATAAGTTTCTATTTTGGAAGTTGTTCTTAACAACATACCTGTAACACAAGCCTGGGGAACCTCTAGTCCTCCAGATGTACTTGGACTACAACTCTCTCATATCTTCCTTCGAATGTGCTGACTGGGGCTTATGGAAATTCTAGTCTGGAGGGCTGCATGAGTCTGCCTGGTCTTTGCCATCAACATTTGCGAAGACCCGTAAGAATCATTTCTCTCGGATGCAGGCTTGTGGCAGGTGCTGTGCTCATTTTCTACATGAGAAGCCTGACTGTTCCTTTCCACCTAGAATGTGAAGCAGCTGTGTACATCCCTTTTTCTGCCTGCTGTCCTGCTACAAAATGAGAAAGAGAAATTGGGCATGGATGTGATGCTCCCTTTTGTTTAGTCATTTGGACAGTGGGCAACCCCACCAGGGTGGACAAGGCAAGCGTGTGCATGTATAGGTCGTGTTTGCCTAGGGTCTTTTGCAGAACCCCCTGCGCATCCTTCCTCCTGTTTTTCATGTCCGCAACTTTTGGTACTTCCTGTTTTCCCCCAATGGAGTCTCCCTGTTCGTAGACTGTATGCTACTTAGTTTTTTTTTTCATCAGGCCAATTGCTGTCTTCCAAGGTATGAGAGGGAAAATCTCTGGTTGGCCTTGCTCTGGAGACACAGTTTATTTTTCCAGTCTACTGCCCTAATAATTAATTAAAGGGATTTTCATGGTAAGTCCAGCTTCTCTTTTAATTGCACAGGTGTGCAAGAAGCACATAAACAGATTTTTAAGAGCAGAGTGTCTGAAGTGTGAGCCAGGGCAGCAAGTAGAGTGGAGGTGAGCATATTTGTTGGTTTGCAACACAAAGGAAGAGGAAAGCAGACTGGCCCTTGTGGAGAGAGAAGTCAGTCAGCAGCTACTGGTTCTAGGTGCGTCTGTTTTTGACCAAAGAGACACAGAAACTGTGCTGCAGATGAGCAATCTGGTTCCCTTCAGATGCTGTGGACCACAAGTTGCATTAGTGCCAGACAGCATGGCCAATGGCAAGGAATGATGGGAGTTGTAGTTCAAAACATCTGGATGACATGGGCTTATCTATAGCTGCTCTAATGTTTCAAAAGGGGCAGGGTGAGTTATATTGGTTGGCTTCACTGGATACCAAAACAATGCCTGATGTGGTCTGTATATAATGACTACAAATACTCTTGGAAGTCCACAGTGAAACAGAGGCTGTGATAATCCCACACAGGTCAATGTACAGAGCTGGTTCCTTCCTGGTGAAGTCAATGAAAGGTGGTTAGAAGTTGAGTGTTCACCTACCTTTCTTTGGACCAGACTTGCTTTCTGTGGATCTGACCTCACAAAGTCTTTAACTCTTCTTGTTCCAGAGTAGGGTTGCCAGCTTTCCAACTGTATGTGTACCTTCCATAACAGCTTGATGTGTTAGCAGATTATGGTAATACTCACTGCCTTCATGCAGTGAACAGCTTTAATTGCTGGCTTCCCTATCACGCTGTTGCTAAAAGCTCAAGAACAGTCTGGACTTGGGTGTTTTTCTCATTGGTTAGTAACCAGATTCAGACAGAGCCTTGAGCCCAAGTGGCAGGGGGTGCAGCATAAGTTTGGAAACACCATTTTGGGAGTGATGCAGGACTAGAACTAATTCTGTTTCTTTGTTTGTATTTGCCTCATCTGTTGTGCCTGTCTCGGGGAGGGAGGCTCTTCTCACGTGCATTTCAGCCTTTCTTCTCAGATACATCTCATTTTAAGAAACTTGTAAAACTTTCTAGTTCTCATTGGCTCCTTCCAGTGAGTGCACTGGCTTCTGATGGGAGAACTTCTCTGCTTCCTTATCCTTCTCTCACTGCCATTCACACAACTTCTGGTCTTGACCACCCTCAGCTTCTTCTCACTGTTTCTCTCTCCTTTCCGCATTTTCTGGACCACAGTTGAACTATTGTTCATTTTTAATGTACACTGTCCAGAGAGCCCTAGATGGGGCTATAGGTAGTGGTATATAAACATGATAATTAACTGTTTCAGGGTATCTGAGGAGGAAAGTCTTGCAGGAACTCTGAGCAGAACTGAACTTAAGTATCACTTTAGATTCATGCAGATAGCTGCATGTGCAGGAGTGAAGAGGGATCAGTGCCTGGTAGTTGCATGAGAAAATCAGACTAGAATTAAGGGGGAAGTCAGGGGAATCCATGGGGGTAATGAATTGTCTCCCCTGTACCCCACTGGTGGTGGTGGTGGTGATGGGAATTGCTTTTAGTAGGAGAAGTGTGAACTTTGGAGCATTTTCTGTGTTGTATTAGGCTTCTACTTTTTGAGTTAGGGAACACTGTGATTGTGCTTCCAGAAAGTGAGGGAATCTAGAAAGAATCCTGTTGTGCAATAAGAAAAAATATATCATGTCCACTGTTTTTATGATTTATTTTAATTATTATTTGTAGAGAAAGAGGATTCTAGACATTGGGGCAAAGCTATAGAGAGGTTAAAGGATATGGCAGTAGCTTACATTATTTAGAATAGTGGCTCACAAGTTGCATTAATTTCACTGATTCTGCTGTAAGTGCAGTGGAGTTTGAAACCAGCCATCCCTTCTTGCCTCTGAACATGGTAGGGTTCCCTTACAGAGGGAGTGCAGTTATTTGAACAGCTTGCTAGGTGGGGGACAGAGGTGTGCCCACTACCACAGGGTGGAGGCAAGACACAGATCTTTTCGATGTTTACTTCTGAAAGATGCTGCTGCTACTATTAAACATGCAATGGGATCCTTACAGAACCCTCAGACTTTCAATATGGGCTAGACAGATATTTTTGAGCATGCAGGTTTTCAGACTAATTGTAGGTATAACTGCAGGCTGATAGCTTCTGCAGAGACCCAGCAAGGAGGGCTGGCCAAAGGGATTCTTCAGCTATCCTCTGAATGGGGTGTAGAATGGCTTCCGGTGCTGCCGGTCAACACAGTGCCAGATAACCCTTATTCCCTAGCTGCTGACTTTCCCATCACTAGTTCCTGTGGCTTTTTTCACACACTACAGTTGTACTTCTGATACTCTGTCCTCCTCCAACTCATGTGTCCCTCCCTCCCCATTGAAGAGTTTTTGTTTCGTGTCATCTTATTTGACGATGCTATTTTGCATCCCACTGACCTTCTCCACCCACATGCAGAAAGAGAAGGGCAAGGAAGACTCGAACGGTGCTCAAAACTGCCCCAATAAGACTGGGCTTCGTTCCCCCATCACAGAGCCCTCCATCCCTGAGGAGAGCCCACTCCCCGACTTACACCCATGTGATGCCAGTAAGTAGTTGCCTGTTGTCATGACCTTTCTGAGAGCAATGAGAGCGCTAGTTACCGAAAGTTTAATGGGTGTATTGGGGAGTGGGGGAAGGCGGCATATTAGCTGAGTCTGTTATGTTGGATAAAAAGTTGATGTTCTACACTAACAGTTTTAAAACCCATGCCTTTTAAATCTTGTGGACTAACAGGTTGATGGGAGCTTCCCAGTCTCTCAGTTTCTTCTCTCAGCTTTGTGATTTAACTCACTAGTGCCTGTTGAGGATCTTTGATGGGGCACAGGTTTGTGGTAGGTCTGCCTAGCCTCGCAGGAGACCAGGCTTCTGTTTTAAAATAACCTTGCCCAACCTGATGCCCTCCAGATGATTCAGACTACAGTTCCCATCATCCCTGACCACACTGGTCATGCTGGATGGGGCTGATGGAGGTTGCTGACCCAAATATCTGGAAGATGTCAGGTTGGGGAAGACTACCTTAAAACAAACATCGAACTTGGACAGGCTTACTTGTCCTGCTGGTGGTATTCTAATGGTGGGAGAAAGTGCTTCTGTAAGAAGTCAACCATTTTGCACAAGAGCATATGTTTCATCTGGTCAAATAACCCATTTGCTTTACATAGACTTAATACAGTAGTTTTATGGCATCAAGGACTTCCAGATGAGAGAAACATGTACATCAGGACTTTTGCAGTGACATTGGATCATATATTAAAACTTGAGAGCCTTGTTTTTCCCATTCTGGACATATATCAGAGCATTTGGCAGAACTGCAGGATTGGGGAGAAGAGGAACTGTGGCTGAGCGAGCCACTTGCCATTCCAACCAAGCTCACTAAGGTGGTCGGTGGGGAAAATGTGTCAACTTCCTCACAGTTTCTCCTACATTGCTCTTCTGCCCTCACCTACCACCTTGTCTCATTCCAGATTGAAAGCCACAAGTTGACTTTTCGTGAGAACGCCAAAGCCAAGACTGACCATGGAGCTGAAATTGTCTACAAATCACCTACTATTTCTGGAGATACCTCTCCACGTCGCCTTAGCAACGTCTCCTCTACTGGAAGCATCAACATGGTGGACTCCCCACAACTTGCCACACTGGCTGATGAAGTGTCTGCTTCCTTGGCCAAGCAGGGCTTGTGATTGTGTTTAAGTAGGTGGAGAGAATAAGAAGAGACAAATCCACTCTGGCCTTTCTTCCTGTTTTCCTTTTTACATCTGCATCCCCCACCATTCCTTATTTTTTTCTATTAATGGGATAACTGTTTTAACCTATACCCCTATTCCCATTTAATCATTTATCCCTGGTCTCAGGGTTTCAGAATTGTTGACAACTCAGAAAAAAAAATCCTACTATCTTTCCAATTATCTCAGTCTCCTGAACAAAATGTAATTGCTTGCCAGGTAAAATTAGAGTGCTTTGGATGGGGCATTTACACTATCTTGGGAAAGAAGGGTGGTATCTGCTTCTTTACACATGCATTAGCTAGCCAAGGTTGTCTTCATGGCGCTGGAAAAGAACCTTCTACATTGATAATTTAGCAATCCTCCTAAACAGCCCCTGGTGTTTTCCTGCTATGTTATAGGCATTTGTGTTAGTGTTGGGCGAGAGCAGATTTCAAACATAAAGCCGAACTCAGCAGTTTCAGTGTGAAATGTCAACTGTCAGGAGACCTGGAAGAATGATTCCTCTCTATTTTACCTCTCCCAAGGGAAAGCTTTTCATGCTGGAAAGGATGAAAAAGTTCAGTTACTATATGCACACAGTTTTCTTTACTTTTATCTTGGATATTTTCCTAAATGGAGGTTAGCTAGAGCCATATCACTATGTTATTCATGTACTGGAAAAACACTGGGCCTAGCTGCATTTAAATGCTGCCTGCTCACTTTGCAAATATGTTTAAATGATACATTTTGAGGGGCCTGGTTACACCTTGCATGTTTGATGATCCATTGAAATCAGTGAAATTTAAGATACTTGACAAATTCTGGATTTGACCAGTTGTTTTTAATTTTTCATGCCAGTAACTATTGCCATCTATCTTTCTTCTGCTTTCTCTACTACAATTTCTGTTTGCACCTGTCTTAAAATTTCCTTAGCAATATAGGAAATTGGCAGTCTCACAGCACTCAAGTGGCAGGTTTAGAAAAAAAAGGTTGATAGGTAGCGAATTTGCTCCTTGTGTTCTTTCCAATAGGCCTGGCTGTTTCTCTTAGTTTCCATGGAAAGATTGCAGGCATATCTGCAGCGATTTGCAAAGTTAAGGGTTTAGGAGTTTTTCTTTTTTAATTTTTAAAGTGCAGTGCCCTTGTTTAAGAGATGGGCAAGTGTCATGTGGGAATGGTATTCCCCTGGAAGAACATAGAATTAGCAAAATTGTGCATTGTTCTGATGCCCTGTCATAGCATCATGTTTGTCAGGCAATGCCTGCATATAGAAAAGAAGTATAATAGAGCAAACGCCACAGACAGGTTTCATTTCTCTTCAGATACAATGATTTCCAGTCAAGGTTGGTGTGTATATTATTCATTTAGGTTTGAATGTGTACATTACTGATGCAGGCATCTGTGTTTAAAAGATAACATACATCTCAGTGCAGTAAGCAGCGGCTTAAATGTTGTTTGGTTCACTGTTTCAGAAACTTGAAGGGAGGACAAAAAATAACACATTGTGCAAAATTGCTCAGTATTCTAAGCACAAGTTACATCCTCGACGAGCTCTCCTGCTACTGGAGCACTCTAGTCCAGCTAAATTTGTAGGGGTTACTTATATAATGCATGCCCTCTTTGCAAACATGTTTTCATCACTGCTGTGTGGAGTTTTCAGTTTGAGCTGTAGCTGCGTGTCATTCCTTGTGCTTTGGGAAGAGGCGCTGTTCCTCAGTTGGCCCAGCCCATGGAGGCACAGTATGTGGCGTTCCTGCCAGGTGCCACCCTCCTTGCCTCCATGCAGTGCAAACAAGCATTGTCCCCAGCTGCCATCATGCTTCCACATTGTCCTCATTCATGCTCAGTTTCCATCCCCAGCCACATTTCATTTAGATGAGCAGTCAACAAGCTATCAAGCCAGGAAAGGGCATCTTCTTACTTAATCTCACACATTTCCATGAATACCATGTATATAGAAAGGCAGCCCATTTATTGTTAGTAGGAGTTGTGAATAATAGAGTCTGCAGTAAGTTATTCTCTCCTTGTATATAGGCTGAGTTGTCAGGTGAGAGGGATAAAGTTGCTTTAACTACAACAGACACAAAAACCCACAAGCTTTTCCAAATATACATGCATGGCTTTTGAAAGCAAGTTAACCACTAAGTGTGTGTAGGAATGGGAGACTGGTCCTTAGGGCTGGGCAGGGTAAGGAAATATGTTGTGTCTGTTACAGTGTGGTGTTTAATATGTAGTAGGTCATTTATGGCCTGAGTTGGATGAACTGTCTGGCTGTGGGAATGGCATGCAGGTGCTCTAGTCCCCTTTTGTCATGGAACAGATGGTTCCACAGCAGTTGGAGATCGCAGTATGCAGACTATCAGACAAAGGTGCTCACGATGATCAGAGGCTTCTATTCCACCTGCTGCTTTACTCCTTGGTTCCTGGGATGCTGTTGCACCCAACACGTGAATCAATGCCTTTATACTATAGTTCAAGAGAATTTGTGCAGGCTCCTCTTTCCAGCCAACTCCCCTCTAAAAGGAGGCTTCATAGCCATAGTTCTGGAAAAATCCATCTACTCAAAAGCACCTGCTCAAGACTGTCACTGCAAAACATAACCTTATACCCTTGCACAAATGGCTTAGTATTTCTGCCCGTTTAGATCTCAAATACAATCGGTGAGGCAGCCCAGCAGTAAAAGAAATAGGCCAACTTTTTAGCACGTTCTAGCTTCTGATGCTTATGCAGCAAAAGCATAGTTAAAGCATCTGCCTGTTTCTTAGTCAGTGTGTCACGACTAGCACTATCCCGTTTACCTTGTGATATTCTTCAAATCTGTCCCATTTGCAAGGGACAAAAAACATAGCAGGAAAATAACAAAATACACTTGTTTCCATTCAGACTTTTACAATGATACAAAATGTAATGCTTTGTCCATCAATGGCACATAGTAATCTTTTCCTTTGTTTGAAAAAAGTTGTTGCATATTGGAAGTCAGCTGCTAAAACCAGGTCAACTGAGGATGGGGAAATGGTTATTGCTCCTAGTTAAGGTATGCAGAACATCTGCTAGGGCAAAAGGAAGTTGACTGGGAATTGTGGGCTAAGGTAAGAGGAGTGGACTTGCAGTTAAAGACAAACAAATGGCTTAGCATGGTACTTTTGTTATTTCATTCCAAGGCAGCATCCTGGTGGAGGTGATCTGCCCATCAAGGCAGCCTTCAGTAATCTCTAATTATTGTATGGTACTGTGTTTGGAACAAAGCTTGTGCTTATTTATGTATTTATGTCATTTATACACATTTTATCTCAAAACAAACTGGGAACACCTTCCACTGAGAACTTGCATCCATCCATATTTCTATTTGCATTTGAGGCTACAGATTGGACGGGAAAAAGTCTTACTTTCAGTTTTTTCATTATGTTGAAGCTAGAGTTTATTATAATTTGCTTTAAAAGATCATCTCCCCCCCACCCCTGAATTCTTTTCCCACATATTAAGAGCCCTGGTCTCTGTCTACTTCATTCCTCCTATTTGCCCCCCCCCCAACCCGTGTTCAGACATAAGGCACGTTAAATATTCTGAATAATTCCTCTCCCCCGTTTTCCCCTGAATCATAGGTCCTGATTCCCAGTCAGCATTTTGATTGTTTTTATGGCTCATTTTAGGAGACACAGACATCAAGTTTGCAGCTGGTTACACCCATGATGGTTTTAATCTAAGGCCATGTCAAACTGGCAGATGTCTTGTCTTGGGATATAAATATACATATCTAGGGGCTTGGAAAAGTATTTAAACTTGACAGATGGAAATCATGGTTTTGAAGCTAAAAAGAAAAAAAGGCTTTGTTAAGGAACTTGGAAGTATCAAAAAGGGACAATGGAGTTTGGAAGACCCCACAATTCCCTTTAAAGTTTTTGAGAGGGAGGGAAAGCAGGGTGGGGGGTGGGAAGGGAGTGAGGTCTCCGTATGATCATCCTAGCTTAGTTAACCTGTCTGTGATGTCCATATTGTACGTGTGTGTTTTAACAACTGGTTTACACTGACTTGCTGTAAAAGTGAATTTGGAAATAAAAAAGTCGTTACTACAATATTAAACTGGTCGTCTTTATTGAACAGAGACAAGACTGAAATGTGGTGACAAAGTCTTCTCTAGCAGTTACTAGCTCCCACAATGTCAAAGAGGTTCTTTCCACCTTATGCACAACATCCCTCGGAAATTCTTGCCATTATTTTGAAAGAGGTGATGTTGGACTACAGCTTCCATCATCCCATGATTGTCCGTGCTAGTTGGTGTATCGGCATCATAGGCCTAAGGTGGCCCATCTCATGACCTTAAATAAAGGTGTCACTTTGTTCCTTCACGGGGAAGTGGGTAACATCATTCCACTTCGTATAATACAAAAGCAGGTGGTGTGTTAACCATTTGACCATCCAGTTTTATCTAAAAAAACCTCATCTCTGACATGTGCAACTGCTCCCAGGTCTGTTTAGGGCACTGCCCTATGCGTCATTTCGACAGCCAAGCCTCCAAAAGCAGAGGCAAATTCATCCTATACCTGGAATCAGATGTGGTGGTAACCTCTGCTGCTGTGCCTTGCAGTGTTTATTTTCTCTAGACACCTGCTTAATTTAGCATCAAGGAGGGGAGGCTGGGATAGCAATTGGCTTAAGGCCATAGCCCCAGCCTCCCTGCGACATGGAAACACTTGTTTCCATGCTGGCTGCAGAGGGGGACAGGAGCTTGCCTTTGGAATCCCCATCCCATGGAGTTGCACCATTACAATTAAAAATTGCAGCTTTGCCTCAATCTTTCCATGTCTCTCTCTCACAAGTGATCTTGTCTCAGCATCCTTGCTTTTTTTTTTTTCTAAAGAAGAGATGTAACACAGTTTTATTAACTTTTTATTTTTTTTAATTTTTTTATAAGCACAGATTTGTGCTTTGGCCAACAGAATCAAGACATTAAACAAAGATCAGCTTCTCTGAAGAAAAGCATTTCTATATAACAAGGACATTACACAGCTTGAAGCAGGAAAAGAAATATTTACAAAATACGAGGTGGGTTTTTTTTGTAGATTTTTCCTTTATAACGCTAAGAGGTTATTCAGAATTTTCAACCTTATAAATAGAAAAGCACTTAATGCAGAGGGATATGGTAGCATTGGGTTTTTCCTCTTTTTAAAAGAAATTAAAACTAGAACCAAAAACATTAGGTAATGTTGAAAATTGTGAAAAAACCCCAACCATTAAGCAGTTTAGCTACTATTTCGTTACAATTACAAAATGAGAAAAAAAGTCTTTTTTTTCCTTTTTGGTGATGTGATTAATACAGAAGACAGGCGCAATGCTAACAACAGGACAGGGACCAACAGCCACACCGCTAGGGTCTGAGAAACATTACAGATGATCGGTGTGCAGAATCTGGGAGTCATGGAGCATGGAGGTGATGGCAGCGGCCTCTTTAAATTAAAATAAATTCAAACCTGTGGAGCTTGGCGATGAATCAGCCCAAGGAGGTCTCAGAAGCAGGAAAGAAACCTGACTGAGAAGTTTGCTTTCAATTATGTTTTCTGTGTAAGTGGAGTTAAAACAGTGGTGAAAAACAAAGTCCTATTTTTATCTGGAAAAATCCAAACATTTAGGTACTCAAACATACTTCAAGATGCAGTCTCAAAGCAATGCACAAGACTACATTTTACAGAGGGTGGAAGAAAAGAAACAAGAACAGTGACATACCATCCTCATTAAAATATGGCTTGTGGATCTGTGGTGGCAAGCTGTTGTATCCTGTGACATTTCTCCCAGTACATAAGGCTCAACACTACTGTATTGCAATCTAGCAGTAGCAGAGATATATAAAAAATATATGACTGCAACTTTCAAACTAACAGGCAGAGTGCAAAATTAAAAAGGAACGCAGAAGTGTTAATTATTAACAGCAGGTAAAGGAAGAGACTTACAAATCACGTCTAGAAAAGGAAGTCTAAATATTCTCTCATGGAAAACAGCTCCTTTTGAAAAGCTAGGCAGACAGCCTTCCCTCCATTCTTACCTTGCTAGTAGGAAAGGAAAGGAATCCTAAGCAACAAACTTTTATGTTCTGAATAAAACTGCTCCAATAGTCTTATTCAGGTTGATAATAGGAAACTGCCTTTTCTAGTACAGCCAAATGTACTTCCTCATCATGGAGATCAACTCAAAAGCTGACACAGACAAAAAAAAGGAATTAGCACAAGGTGAGATGAGGGAGGGAGGGGAAGAAATACCCTTTGGAGCTCAGAAGTGGGAAGCCATCCCTTAGGGAACTAAGAAATGGAGGGTTTTGCATTGCAAGTGCTTTCGTGTGCCAGTGCAGCCCATGAGCAGAACTGATAGTGAGGGAAGTTGTATTCAGAAGACATCACTTTTCACCACTAATTTCACTCCACTAGAATTTTAGGGAGGGGAGCACAGTGATGGTGGTAGGTGAGGAGAACATACACTGAATAGGAAAGGAAAAGAAAGAAAAGAAAATAGAAGTACCCTTTCACCAGAGAACTAATTCCAGGGTCAGTTAGCCAGCTTCACCCTCTTGGTTGAGGAGTGTACACCTAAAGTATGGGAAAGGGAGAAAAGTTTGCTCTCCTCATCAGACCACACAGCACTAGGTAAGGTGTGTGTGACAAGGAAACATGGAAAGAAAGGAAAAAAAATAAAACAGTTTCTAAACTCCTTAAATTCACTAAAAACTGTGAAAATTCCCGGCAGGATGTTTGAATATCAAACGCAGATTTCAGAAGCTTTAATGCCAAGAGTTAGTTTGGTGGATTGCTTTTTGCTCGCGTCTTCCTGTCCATCTCTTTATCTGTGGGCCGGCCGCTGAACTGTGGCCACTGCCCCTGGATGCCGGCTCTTGAGGCAAGCAAGGGTGGGTGATATGGGTGCTCCATCTGTTTCTCGGGAGGACTTGCTGCCAGATGTGCGCCGTGTGCATCGTGATGACCGGTCCTGTGGATCTGACTGGTCCTCGCACTCTGTCTTGGGGTTGTAGGACAGTGGGAAGCTGCGTCGTTCCCAAGGCTGTACAGTCTGAAAGGCAAAGGAAAGCTGGTCGGCCTTAATCTGGTCTACTTCCCATACCATTTAGAACTTTGAAGAGGCATTACCTGCGTAGTCACATCCAAGAGAGGTAGTACACCTGTAATTAAATCTACATCTGACATCAGAAAAAGTGTCTACGGAAGATGCTGCCACACTGGGCTAGAAGAAAGGGAATCGGAGCTGGAAGGCTGGGGCCTTGTAGATGAAAGCTCTTGTGCCAGGAATGCATCCCAAAGTTCTCCCGTTCACCCAACCTGTCCGTGAAAATCTCCAGAAGACATTCTAAAACTTTCCTTGGCAATATTTTCTTCCTCTTACAAGATTCTGCATAATATTTAACAGAAATCTGGCTTCCTTGAACGTTGAACAATTTTGTTTCACAGTGAAAAGGGCAACCCTTTAATTGTTGTGTCTCTAAGTTGCTCTTCCAAGAAACTTGAAGCACTTGATAATCCTTACAGCTATCTTGAGAGGATGGTCAGGATGAGAAAGGTAAGTTGTTTAGCTAAGGCCTTACTGGGCTTCACAGCTGAGCAAGGATTTGAACTTCAGTTTCTCACCTCTAGGATCAATACTCAGGACACAGGTCTCCACAACAGCCTACGGTTCTGGGTGGTTTGTTACCAATCTCAACAGGTCACGCTTCCAACAGTCTGCTGCCAATGTCTGCTTTATGTAAATTTGCCCAGTGCCCACAGGGTGATTAACATGCTGCAGTGGCTTGTTGACTGTCCTGCAATTGTGCCAACCAGGCCAAATGACCAGGTTGGACAATTACTGTAGCCTGCATTTATTTAGGCCATGGAGGGCTGCAACTCATGCTAGCCATATTCAAAGTACAGTGATGGTGGGAGCTGGCCATGGCTCAGGGTGTTATGTGAAGCTTATGCAAGGGTTAAACCATTTTCAGATTACGGGCTCTACAAACTTTGTTTACTCCTTTCATGAACCATCCTAACTATATTCACACAACTAAGCCCACCTGCTGCGGCTTGAATATTCAAAATGGCAGCTGGCATGCATTACAACTCTTGGCTTAAACCAATTGTATGAACTGACCTACTGTTTATTCCCAAAGAGGACTGTCTGAAACCCAGAAAGATTTGTTTTCAGATGGGAACAAATAAGACCCCATAAAGGCCTATTTGGCTGAACTTTCTTACTGTTGATACACATGCTTTTTACAGTCATGTGATCATCCTGGTTATCCTTTTCTGCACCTTTTCCCACACAATTAATCATTTTAATGTGAAAACCAGAACTGCACACAGGTGCAGCCACACCACAGATCTGGAGAGGGGCACTGTGCTGGCAAGTTTATTTAAGGTCCTTTTCTTTAGAATTCCCAGCATGGAATTCCTTCTTGATGCTCTCTATGGGTCAATCACAGGTTCTGCACTCCAGCGGAGCTCTGACTTGGAGCAGTCTATATGCTGGGAGGCAGGGAGGGAGGGGGCTTCACCATCCTCACTGAGCATGCATTGCTCTTCTTCCAGCTCAGTTCTCTTTGATGGCTCCATCACTGAGGAGTGCTCCCCCAACAATTCATCATAAGAGCAATTAGAATTATCCCATCTTATTAAGTTCCTTTCTTTGTTAGCAGCCCTGGTTGCTGTTCTTCAAGTTCCTACTCTACAATGAACGGTTACTCTACTGCAAACCAGTCACAGCAGAAATCAACGCTTCTCACTTCTAAAAATGTAGAAAATGCATCACATTCAGCAGGGGTGACCCCTGTTCCCTATGCAGCCTTGCACTGAATTCTATCATAATGGAACCAGCCCGGGAGGTGAGCAAGGGGGCGCCACAGGAACGGTGGATGCACACAAACCTGCTAGAACCCCCAGAGGTCACTGGGGCTCTGCTGACCTTCTAGGACTGCCCTCTGGGATCACACAGAACAAGCTGCCAAGGACAGCGTGACCATGGCTTGCTGTATCATCCAATGAGGAGGGACAAACTCCACCTGACTTTCCATCTCTAGCATATCCTGTGCGCATCTTTCTTACAGCAATGACTTGGCAAAGAACATACAATGGCAGGCCTCTTTCCATGACTGTAGATCACTCTGCAACTGAGGCCAACAGCCAGGCTATTTCTGCACTACCGCATCCCAGGACCACTCCTCCACATGTTCTTACCCTTCCCCGTCAACGTCAAGTCTGGAGGAGTAACTTAAACGATACCCTTGTAACGGAGAGATGCCAAGGCATGTGGTGACGTGATATAAGCGGTTTAAATAAATAAATAATAAAAATAAAATAACCCTGAGATGACCCCTTCAGGCCTGGCCAACAACCCTCCTCCTACTGTCAAGTTAAAACCAAATTCACCATCATGGGGTGATTCTGAAACTCTGCCAGATGGGGCCGTATCAGTCCCAACATAAGATTCCCTTTTCTGTGCAGAGACTAGATCCCCGCTAATTCATTTTGTTCCACGAGATTTCAGTTCTACCCACTATAGCCATGTTCCAGGTGCCATCCAGGCACCCACTCCACCACCGCCATCTTAGCTCGGATGCATCTAGAGTCAGCATAAAAACACCTATATGCTGAATGCATTACTGTTACTTCTGCAGATATATGACTCCCAGTGCTTTTGTTTACACTGCTGCACATGCAACAATGCAAACGGAAAGCAGGCAGTTAAGTCCACGTATCAACACCTACAATGTACGAAGACACACAGGCAACCACCCACCTGTTCATCAAGGCCAGATTCTGGTGTGGAACAACGTGTGTCCTCGGTGGACAGGTGCCGCATGGAATCCCGGGACAGAGGGGTGTGGGGGCCAGAGAACAGGTCTGGGCTGATGGGGCTGCGCGGAGAGTGGGTATGGGAGAAGTCAGAATGTGAGTAGCAGTTCCCGACATCAGGTGATGCTGGTTGTGGGGTAGATGGGTTCCCTAACTGTGGGGTTGTCCGTCCATCTGTTGATCTGTAAGACCTGGAATTAAAGCGGAGACTCTGTTTCACAAAGACAGCATTGCATGTGTTCTTGTCTTTTGCAGGCTGCCATGCTCCATGTCTTCAAGCCATGTATGGCTTTAAAGGTACAGGACATAATGCTCTCACACGCTTAGCGCCAACTAAAACGGCAGCCCCCTCCCCCATTCTAGACCAACTGCAGTTCCTAAAGGAAGTCCCTCTGGTTAGCTTAATGCACATTTATAATTCCAAAGGGGCCTCCTCCACTGCCTGATCACGGACACTTTCACTCAGGTACTGCCTTTCTGGCAATACTGCGGAAGAGGGAGAGTGGCCACCCATCACGGAGGCTTTTGGACATTTGCCGTAGCACCCAGCCAGCCTTACCTGCTGCCTCGCCGCTGCGGTGGCATGCTTGTGCTCCACAGCCACCGTGCCCGCTCCATCTCTTCGCACTTGGCATGGAGAGTGGCGAAGGCTGCGTCCGAGAGATCCTCTATCTGCAAGGGCGATCGCATGAAGTCAGCACAGCAGCGGCCCCGGATGTTTCAGCGATTCTGCAAGTGCTGCCCGGCATCTCATGAAGACGCCAGACCATCTCCCCATCCCCATGAAGAGCAGGTGTGCTTACTCAGAGGCCTGCTGTGCCTACCCTTAACCTCCTGTGCAGGTGCCACTGGGAGAGAGAACGAGCTCAGATTTCCCTCCTCATGTCTTTACACACAGCACTGGGGGCAAGTCAACCTGGATTTACACCGATTCATCCAATTCAAAATCCAAAAAGCACGACACAGGTTTGTTGCAGAACAGTTTTCTTAGTTCTCTCAAACCACCTGATCCATTTTTAGGAGGTGATGAGGTATGTGGAAGTTTCCATCATGCACTGAAAACTGATCTGGCATATCAAAAGATATGCTGAGAATTCCCTTTCCTCAGCAGGACGAGTGAGGTGGCAGGACGTTCACCCCCGCAGCAGTCCCTTCACACTGCCTAATTTGCAACAGAAGGGGTCCCCCCCCCCCGATCTACATTCCTGTGGGGCATAAACATTCCACAAACCAAAATCTTTGGGTCCTGCTGCGATTCACTTGGCTGGCAACAAAAGCTAAACAAAATTTTGGCCTAAGGAAAGCCAACTTCTACATATGAAATATGTTTCACACACAGAGCATATGCCCATGTTTGCTTACATGGCACAGCAGCACAGAGCATGGGGAGAGACAGAAAGCTTCCAGGTATCCAGAAATATTATTTATAGAGCACCACAAAAGTGAGACTCCTCTTGGCTGTGCCCAAGAGTTGTTCTGAAGGAGGGGACTCAAAAATGTTGGGCTCCAGAGGCTCCTCCCCCTTTTCTTGGAACGCCCTGCCTTCCCTTTCTTTATACTGTGTCATCTTATTTCCTTGGCAAAAGAACGGCAGGCTGTGGAAAAACAGGGGTCCCGTAGAAGAGACATGCCAAACACTGACAGTCTTACTTCCATAAAGGAGAAAATATATTGGTTATCCTCCTTTTTGCAAAGAATAAAAACGGGTCAGTGACCCCACTTCCTTCCCTACAGTCAGATCTTCCTCTCACTCCAGAGATCACATGCTGCATGCAATGAACTCAGCAGGGAAGAGGCTGAGCCACTGACTGATAAAAGCAATCACATGGTTAATCACACGCTCTCCCCCTCCCCCAGAGAAAGTTTATGTAGCACATCCTGCGCATGACGGCCATGGGGCCATCTAGAAATTAAACAACAACTGCTGATTTATATTACACTAGATTTGCTCCGCCATTTCAACCTCGTGCATGGCAGCACTTCACAAGAGCAGCTCATGCCGTCACGGCTTTACAACCACCTTGCATCAAGACAGGCCTTCTCTGCAGGAATGTGGGTGCTGCTTGCACCCCAGTCCAATTAGCAAGGATCTTCTGGGTTGGCCAGATCTTGCCCAGAGGTGCTCACCTACACAACCAAGATCTGAAAAAACCCAGGTCTCTGCCCCCACCCCACTTACCCATAAGGAAATATCGAAAACAGAACTGTTCATGGACAGACAGCCTGAGGGGAAAATCCTTCTAAGGAGCTTAAGGGTAATAATTTTATAACTTTTACTACCCAGAGAGTGCACAGAGTCCTTTGGGGTGCTATGAAAATGTAATAAATAAAATGAACAACTTTGCCATTAACTGAGGCAGGGAAATGGCTGCCAGCTTTGTTTGGCACTTCATGGAGAAAAACCCCAACACAAGACCTTGTTTAAGCTCTCAAAAACCACACTTCGTTTGCCATAGAAATGGCTTCCCCTCCAAACTTTCATAAAACCCACAGGATCCTGCTGGAATTGTTCTGTGGAATCTGGTGACACACCAGCCTCAGGAAATAAAACAAAACCGAGGGCAATTTGAGTAGTGTCTTTGATCCTGCTAATGCACATACAATTTGCAGTGGGCACTGGCCGAGACCTTAATTTAAAAGGCTGCTGAGGTGCCCAAGAAGCAGGCAGCCGCTTTAATTGCACACCAGAGAGCCACCAGTCTGTCAGCTGGAAGACAGCACACTTCTCCTTTGAAGTTTCAACCTCCGTCTCTTCAATCTCATCCCCAGCCATATTGGAAAGGCAGAGAGAGCACAGCCAGGCACAACGAGACAGTGTGATCACAGATGCCATTACCCTTGTTTCATGACTAATAAGCTTAACTCTTTTGATCTGCTGTTGGGTTAACTCGTCTCTGCCTAAGCCCGCTTGCTGTCTTGCAGCAAGTCCCAAGATGGCTGTCACACCCTTCTAGGGTGAAGAGGGGTAATGCTCCATGACTGCCTGGATCTTAGTAGTTGGAAGGGTGACAGTGCTGATGGATGCTATGCTTTTGGTGAAGGATGCGGAAACTTAAGATGCTGGCACCAAAACTAATTATATTGTATGAGGAAGGAGTTGGCCCGATACCAAGTGCTTTGCTTTCCCATGCAGAGAGAAGCCTCCTTAGTAAACGTTTATATGGAGACACATATCCAGCATGTCACCAACACCAACAGAAGCTGCAGCCACATCAGAGGACACTTTTTGCTAAAGTGTAAGTGATTCTTACTTGACTACATTCCAGCATCTCTATGTATCAGCTTCTGCATTTTATGTACATTTATGAATGGTAGGCATAAAGTGACCGATCCAGTAATTATGCCCACTGCTGACTGTCAAATAAATTATAATTCATTTGCGGGATTTCCTTGACCTTGAAAATAAGAGCTTTAAAGCCACATCCTGTATCACTTGTTCAAAAAGCAAACTCAGGAGGTGAGCACTGCTGAGACTGAAACCAAAATGCAGCCACGGAGGGAGAGGGCGGTATCCGCCTGCTTGGGTGAACCCTGAGATTCCACTAGCACAAAAAAATCTTTAAAAACCCAGGCAAAATGTTAAGAGTAACCATGAAGACAAAGCATGAGGACTGAGCATGCTCAGCAGATACGGAATGTAGAGTGATGGCCAGAGATGGAAAACGTGTGTGTGTGTGTGTGTGTGTGTGTGTGTGTGTGTGTGTGTGTGTGTGCGGGCACATGCATGAGAAAGAGAGTGAAAAGGGAAGATAAAATGCAACCTTCTGTAGTGGGTCCCCCACGTTTCATAAGAAACGCCACTTCCAAAATGGTGCTACCATTATGATTCCCCCTGCAATTTGAAGACTCCATGGGAAGTTCCGGGGGAGGCCTACGGAGTGCAGGCACAGGGAATCACCCATCCGCAGGAATGTTCATCTGAAACAGCATCATTACTCAGCACACTTAGCAAATCGCTGGTTGGCCACTGGGATCAGGCTGTTGCAGTGCTGGACATGAGCAGCTCTGGGCTTTTAGTGCTGCCTTCATCTTCTGGGTTTAAGGCAATGTTCAAACTTCATGCACACCTCATTTAGGATTTTTATTGCCAGTGCAAGAAGGTTGCATGCTGAAAACCCTCTGATGCTTCACTCAGCTCTCATAGAACCAATACAGGGCTGGAGGGGAAGCCACTCCCATGGAAAGCGAGTATGGCTTTTAAGAGCTAAACCCCTTCTCTATTAGGGGCTTTCTCCATGAAGTGTCAGACAAAGCTGGTGGTCATGCACTCGGATTTTACTCCTATACTTTCTGAAAAAACAACAGCCGCTGCATTCAGTCACCAGAATGAACTCCAGGCAGGTGCTCCCACTTCCAACAGTCACTTAAAAGAGTGATGCAGGGGTTCCAAGCTGCCTAGAAAGTACCTTTTTCTTGGGTGGAGGAGGAAGACTTAGAATCCCAGATAGATGAAAAAGTCACCCACATGCTTAATTTTGCTGTTTTTCTTTGATTAAGGACATCATGTGCTTCTAAAGCTTTGGCAGAGCCTGATGTTTCTATTTAGTGTGTGCGTGTGCACAGAACGTGGGTTTGCGCAGCTGCCACAAAGGAGAGCAATTACCTCTTCGTTGTCTTCGTCCGGGTTCACTGTCAGAGCACCGATATCCACAACGCGCCAGCTGCAAAAGAGGCCAGCAAAGAACAGTCAGTCCCCAGAGGGGTGGAGGAGCCCCACACGCTGGCTTGAGTGCAGCAGGAGCAGCAGCTGGGCAAGGAACAAGCAGCTTGGAGGAAGCCTGCTGCGGATGCCTCCCTGATCGTGAAGAAGGCTGTTTCACGGCCTTTCATCCCAGAAGCTGCATAGGATCCCGCCGGGGTGCCTCAGCTTTGGGCAGCAACGCACCCAAGGCCATGCCGGTGGCTCTGGGATCAGCAGGGCGCTGCTGCCAAGGGCCCTGCTGTCCAGTCCTCTGCCACCGCAGTCATGGGGCCCAACAGCCCCCATCTCCAAGCCAGCCAAATAAAAGCTTTATCTGCCCCAGATCCCACAAGCCATCCCTGCAGTCTGATCTCAACCTCCTGTGCTACCCCATAAATGGGCACCCCCAACGCTGATCAGAACAAGACCCAGCTATTTGCACACTTGGCCCGTCCAATGAGAACCGCTTCGGTGTCCCCCAGCCCTACTGCACCTGCCACCATTCCCACCCAGCCTGGCCAGTCCAGCCATGGGATGCTGACCCACACGGATCAGCAACCGCTTTTGAAGGACCCAGATGGGGAAATTTTCCAGTCTTACTACTTCAAGTATTTTTTAAAAGATGAACTCCCTTGCTGTCTATCCAAAAGGTCAGATTACTTACCTGAAATTGTCATTCTTTGAGTGGTCATCTGTGCATTCACACATATGCATATAACTTATAGCCTGAATTAGGCTCCAGTTGTGGTATATAAATTTAAGAATGAATGAATGAATTAGGGAGGGAGGGCTCTATCCCTGTGCAGGACCTGTTGTCAAGGTTTCCTAGTTAGATTCATTTTGATGGAAGCTCCTCCCCTCCTGTCCTTTGGTATTATTCCTCACTTCCATTGTGAGTGACACTGTGGCCTTGGAATGGAGCTCAAGGACAATGGATTGAGGAGCTGTGGAGTGTTGAAGCTGATCAGCACTGATATGCAGTCGGTGGAGCAGCGGGTGAACGCACCAAGGAGCACTTGGAGAACATCAGTTACAGGTAAGCAGCCTGATGTTGCTCTTTGTGGTCTCTGTGCATCACACACAGGGGCACGTAATGAACTGGTGGAGGGGAGGTGTCATCAGCAGAGAACTGTGGAGAGGACTGCTTTGCCAAAGGAGCAGTCTTGCCTGGTGCAGATGCCAAGCCAGCAATGCTTGACAAATACTCATGAAGTGAGCCACGCTGCTGCCTTGCAGTGGTCCTGCAGAGGGATGCCAGCATGAACACTGCTGAGGTGGCCACTGCCCTCATGGAGTGTGTCCTGGGTCTGTCAGGGAGCTGCACTCCTGCAAGCTGATAGGCAAGCATGGTGGTTTTGACTCCTCAGTGTGCAAACTGTTGAGAGCTGATGGGTTCAGCTCTGGACCTCTCACCATTGCAAACAAAGAGTCTTTTAAAGTAGCAAAAGAATTCTGTTCCAGGCTTGTAGAATACAAGAATACAACACAATATATGCAAGGTAGAGTCCATCTGGTTTGATGGCATAGTGAAGAAGGCCAATAAAGCAATGTCCTGGATAAAGTGCAATGGTGAGGTAACATTCAGACAGAACAAGGGATCTGGACACAATTGAGGCATCGTTGACTGATGTGGAGTGTGCAATGTAATTACCATAAGCGAGGCTACCTTTTAGGAGAGAAGCCTGAGATCTGAGGTGACCAAAATTATGAAGGGTCATTTCGTAAGAGCTTGGAGGATGATAGAAGGCTCCAGGAGCAGGTTTGTGGAATGTTTTGCAGTTCTTTGCGGAACCAACAGAACTACAGATGTGAAAAGACCAGAAAACCTTGGATTAGTGGGTGAAATGAGGTAACGGCTTCCAGGTAAACCTTGATGAAAGAGGTTTCAGACCGCTGCAGATGAAAGTGTGCAGGAAGTCCAGAATTTGTTGCATAAACGACTAACAAGGGTCAAAGGGCTCTTGCTGGGTGTAGGCAGAGAATGTGGATGGTCTCAATGCGTCACTGAGACTGCCTGGATGTCGAGTCGGAGAAGCGTGTCCTGGTCTACTGAGTGCATGGTGGCCATGTTACATCCCTCCTTGGTTCTGTGAGATAATATTCAGAGTCAATGGAATGCGGATGATCGTCTGAACAGGCAAAGATGCGTCAGATGATATTCCCCAAGTCTGGAAGATTTCTGTGAGGATCCTGGGAACCATCTCACATTCACGTATTCTGACATTCTCCCTACTCAGGAAGTCTGCTTTCAAATGCCCCATACTGGCCATGTGGATGGCCATCATTGTTATGTCCATGTCGATGCACTGGTCTCATATTTGCATGGTGAATCATGTCAGGGAAATGGATTGGTACCTCCCTGTTTGTTCAGATAGAACACCATGATAGTGTTTGCCCAGGGTGATCTGCATGTGGTAGTTCTGAAGAATGGTCCGCAAGGTGGTGAGGGCCTTCTGTATTGCCAAGAGTTTGAGATAATTGATGTGTTCTTGGGGTTCTAAAATTCATGCCTTATGGGTCTGGTTGGTTCCACAGTGCACTCTCAGGGGAGGAATTTGTTGTCACCGTGATGTCCGATTCTGGCAGTGTGCAGTTGACTTCCTTAGCCAGATTGGCTCAGTTGATCCACCCCGCTAAGTTTGAGCATATCAAGCACAGGGTGCTGAGATGCTTACAGCTGGAATGGTGCTGAGGTCAGTAAGCATATAAGAACTAGAGACCAAGTGGAGACATGTGAAGTCTAACCAACGGGACCACCATGACTGTTGTTGCCATGAACCCAAGGAGGCGCTGTACTTGCTGTACTGTAGCTCTGGGGCTGGCTTTGAGCTTCAAGGCCATGCCTATCAGGAATGAGGCCCTGGGGGCCAGGAGGTAGGTGCTCACAGCTCCTGAGCTGATCTGCACTCAGATGTAAAGGACTGACTGAACAGGAGAATGAACAGGTTTCTCTCAGTTTATACACAGACCCAGGACCCACTGTTTCTAGGAGGTTGCAAGCAGCATGGGCCAATTCTGGGAGGTCTTCTTTTGAGAGGACAACAAGGAGTCAGTCATCAAGGCAAGGGAAGATGTGGATTCTTTGCAGATGGAGGCAGGCACAGATGATTGCCATGCAAATGATAAACACTCGTGGGGTGGTGGAAAGCCCAAAAGGGAAGACAGAGAATTGAAGAGCTTCCATACTGACTTGGAAGTGAAGGAAATGCTGGTAATCAGGAAATTACACCATATTACATCAAATTATGTCAAATAGTAATATGAAAGTAGGCCTCCTTCATAGTCAACCAGTCGCCTTGACATAGCAGTGGTAAGATGTTCTGAAGGAAACTATGTGAAACTTCTTTGGTATAAGGAAGAAGCTGCCATCTGTCTTTCTGTGGTACTGTGAAGTAATGGGAGTAAAAACTGTATCAAATGTTGGATGGAGGAATGAGCTGTATAGCTCCTTCCAAGAGCAGCATAGCTACCTCTGCTGCCAGGACAGGGGATGGTGGCATGACCCATGCAGACCTGAGAGGAGGCAGAGCGTGAAATTCAATTTGGTAACCTTTCTCTACTATGGAGAGGACCCACCTCTCTGATGTTACAGCTTCCCTAGTGGGGACATCCATAAAACCAGACATGGGAAGGAGGAACTGAATGGTTGTGCTAGTCAGCAGTGCCTTTTGTCTGCCTGCAGAGGGTGAGAGTACTGTCCACGTCCTTGACATGCAGAGCGAGGGGGACTGGTCCACTTACGTGACTGCTGCAGTTGCTGACTGAAGCCCATCTTCTTTGCTTTTGTCCTGGCCTTCCAGATGGGTTTGTCAGGCTTGGACTTGAAGAGGCCCTCCCTATCAAACAGCAGATCTTTGTTCCTCATGCTCACTTCTTGGAATAGTCCAGGTGAATGGAGTCTGGTATGCTGACAAATTGCTACTGTGCTGATGAGGACCTGGAGTTGCACTTAACATGGTGGCGTGCCAGACTGCTCTGTTGATGGGGCAGACAGAGGGCCTTGGACTGAAAGACTCACTCCAACTATGTGTTTTGCTCCGGGCAGTGTTTGCAGAGGGAGTCCATAAGAAACAACTGATAGTGGGCCAATGTAGCCTCACAACTGGAGCCACGAAGGCCCAAGGCTGCTGATGAGCAGACTCTGCATGCCACTGCATCCAGCCTGTGTCCCTGCTTGTCCACGTGTGACAAGTGCTCCCTCTGAGACCTGCCCTGCGCTGATTCCACAATAACTGCCCTGGAATGTTGAAGCAGGAACAGGAGCAACTTCTCTTGGATCTGGTACAGCTCCTCTACCATGTTAGTGGTATCTGTGCTGGTGTCTGCCTGTTCTCCTTGATGGAGTTAAGGAGTGGCAGAAGAAAGGGGACTGACATCGGTACTACATCCTCCATTCAGGTAGCTTCAAAGAATGAGTCTGCAACCGTCTCAACATATTGTTGGGTCTTGAGCCCAAATGAGGTAGCCATCCGGAGGTTCAGTTCTGAAAAGTATCCCACATCCTCGGAAGGGAATCACAGTTCCTGTGACGTGATGACTGCATCTGGGGAGGAGGTGAGCTGATCTTCAAACTGAACAGAATCTGAGACATAGTCTCCTGGGACTCAAGGAGGTGAGTCAAGCTTTGGTTGCCAGGGGGTGGCAGCAAGCATGGTGGTGACAGAGATTGTGATAGTGTTGCTGATGCTCTGCTGTGCCCCTCCCCTGGTATTCCTGGTAGTCATCATGTCTATGTCTTAAGAGTGGTCATTTGGTCCCTGTTGACTCCGCTCTCATTCTGATCTGGCTGGTAGTGTTGTGGAGTCAGCCAATGGGGGCCTCCATCCCTAACACTGTGAGGCAATAGAGAATGATCACAAGGACAACGTCTTCAGGCAGACTGTGATGGTGCCAGCAAGAAGGTCTTGGGATGTCGAGGAGGAGAGGAGAGGAGAGGAGAGGAGGTAGCAGAATGGCGTGGGCAAAGGCAGTGAGGACAGTAATGTTCTGTGGAGGGATCTCAGAGGAAGGTTGGGCCAATGTGGTGATCCTGAAACCCAAGACGAGGCTGGGCAATCCTCTACCACAGACCTAACTCAATCAGCTGCCTGGAGGACACAGTTCCACAGTTCGGTCAGCAGTTTTCTCACCCTGCTTTTCTGGGCCTTTTTAGCAAAGGCCTGGCTGTGTGGGCAGGTCTCCACTAGGTGCCCCTCTCCTAGGCAGGAGAGGCATAAGGAACTGCCATCCACTGGGGGTAGTTTGCTCCCTCAACAGAAGTATTTGTGAAATGGCACTTGGAGCACCATCAGGAAGAGGGAGGAAAGACGACCATGTGGGGACAGGAGAAGACTGGATCATAGAAGGGTTCTGTTTTGTTTTTGGAAAGGTTAAGTTTGGTTAAATAAAAGCTGCAGAAACTAGGATTGTAGAAAAAGTGAAAAATGACTGCAGAGAACAAGTCAGGGAAAGCCAGAGCTAGTGCTAAAGGAACATCCTGTGACACCCACAACGATGGTCAGAAAGAAACTGCAGAAGTAGGAGGTATTCCCTCCTAGATATACCAGGAGGTGGGAGGGGAGTGGCTTCTGCCAAAATGAGTCTAATTAGGAAATTTTCCGAACAACAGGCCCTATGCAGGCACAGAGCCCATGAGTGTGATGCTCAGAGCCCATGAAGAAGAGGAATGAACACACACCCACACCCACGAGTTCAGTTAGGGCCAAGCTAAAATAACTCCCATTTTCAATTGGCTAAACTCAGTGGCAAGGAGTGAATGAAATGTGAGCAAACATTTCAGGATACACCTTACTATTGCTGGCAACAACACTACTCCTCTTAATAGCGACCAGTCGCCACCCCTCAAGCTCCCTCTGTGGGACACTGCAGTGGCCTCTCAAAGGAATGGCCACCACTGATTGTGAAACACAGGCAAACACAAGGGAGGGAGGGAGGGAAAAAGGAGTGAAGGGTTTCACACCTCCCTTTTCCCATAGGATCATCCCACCCGTAATGCAGTTGCATGTCTTCCTAGCAGAATGCTCACCCCAGAACTAGAACCGGGTTTAACCTTAAGATTTCCTGCATGCAACACATGCAGACCTTCAAGCCAAGAGGTGTAGTCTCATGGCTTCTTCCTACTACAGGGGCAGAATTGGCAATATCCAATCTGCAAGCAGCACCCTGGACACGGCACAGCCAGCAGAGCAACCTGACCGGTGATGGCCAACACACACAGGCTTCCTAACAACCATCCCCACTGCTCCTTGAAAACCTGAAACAAAGACAGCATCCCAATCCTTACATGAAGTCAAGCTGCTAGTCCTTTTGGAATTCCACCCCCCACCTGAATTTGGAATATGGCCAGAGCCATCCCTATTTAATGATGAAAAGACCACTCTGAACAACAGCGAATGTTACAAGGAGCCCAATACAAGAACCCATTAGCTACATTCCCTATATTTGGGAAGTCCTTGACAGATTGTGCCTCAGCTCCCCTGCCCCCATTACAGTTGTTTCCTACTTAGCAGAATTGTTTATCTGGCCCTTCCTGTTCAGAATCTAGGTCCATTCAGAGGTTCTCCATTAAGATGGTCCCCAGCAAGCTATAAAATGCAGGGCCAAAATACAAGATCTTTACTTATTTGAAAGTATCCATTCAAAATTGATGTGACTTGATTTATTGGACAAAGAAGTGCATTAGGGCATCTCCCAAGCCTCTGCTGAAATTCCAAGTGCTCCATGTGGGGCGTGGGGGGGTTAAGAGGGATGTTAAGGCACAGGTTGTTGCCTCTGGAAATACCTCGGTGTGAGGATTTCCTTGTACTGCAGTTTTTCTACGCGGGTTGTTGCAGCAACAGACATAGGGATGACAATGTTGTTGATGTCGAAAGAGCTTTCCCCTCTCCTCCTCCTTGGCTGCTGCTGTAAAACAAACACAGAATAGGAAGAGTAAGATAAGGTAGAAATAATTCGAAGACCAGTCAGCAACTCTAAGCAAGAAGGAACTCCCCTTCCAGTGGTTTTCTCTGCCTAGCAATTGAATGGGGCCCAATGGTGGCCCCAAGAGCTTGGGCCACAGAAAAGCCGATACTATAAGGCTTTCCATGCAAGCCATTTTCCATGCTCTTCTCCCAGGAACACGAAGCAATGTGAGGAACTGTTTGTTTCTTCATGAATTATGCTTCTTCTAGTGAATTTGGGCTGACAGCCTTATACCTGATCCTCGCCACAACGAAAAAATGTATTAACGCAGGTGAGTAGTTCCACCATTCAGTGTGGTCCCATACTTGTGAGTCTGTTTACACTGCTTATCCTGGAAAAAGAGTTCCCTAGAATTCAGTTGACCTTCAGCTTGCTTAAATATTCAAGGACTAAATGACAGGAAGTTGGGAATTACCCATCTGACAAGCTTGGGGCCAGACTTACTGCTCTTTGCATCCCAGGTTAAGCAAGTATATAAATCAGCAGCAGTGTCATCTGACTCTGGTCAACAAAATTCACAGCTCGTGGCCAAAACACGCTGGAATATCTTAACTGACCACCCAGAGAATCCTGGAATACTTTCTGAATGCTGAACACACAAAACAAGCCCTCTCTTGTGGAATGGCACCCTGCACACCGCAAAGGAACAGTATACAACAGAAAGAAAAGTGGGGAGAAAATGGGGCCATGCCTTACACCGTCTCTATAGCAAAAATAACCACAAAGAATTATTTGGATCCCCTGCTGCAGGCAGGGGCGGGGGGAGAGGAGGAGAGAGGGAGAGTTCACTGCTCCTCCTCACAGCCTTTGGAGTCACTCCCTATGTTTTGGGACTGAAACCATCATCAGATCCTGGCAGTATGGCCAATAGTCTGGGACTGCGGGAACTATCTAAAACATCTGGAGGGCACTGGGTTGTTTACCCCTTAGGTGACAGGAGTAACTGGAAAAAATTCCCCACCTCCACTCTTCTTTTTCTGAATGGGCATTTTCCATGCATAGAATCACACCCATTTCACTCCTGAAGGGGACTTTTCAAAGGCACTGATATACAACCGAACTTGAGAGCAACGCATGCTGAAAATAAAAAACCCCACCTCCTCTACTCAGTCTGAATGACAAAATTTGCAAATGTTTGCCAGCATCTCCTCCTGGCATGCACTGCAACAAACCCTTTTAGATATTCTGCACATTTCACCTTGCCGCTTCAGGCATAATCTCCACAGTGCATGCCTGTGGGTGGCGCCTCTTCCCTGACTCCACTGATCCCAAAGAACAGCCTCCATCGCTCTGCCCCCCATGCCCCCAACATGTGCCACGCTTTCACATCAAAGACACCCAGGGAGGAATCCCCTGGCAGCTTTCATGCTCTGTTGCAAGTCTGCCTGGACTATTCCTAAAGCAGTTTTCCAAACCATGGTAATGCTTTGCTAGCACTCGCCACCTTTCAGCGGGGTTTTTCATGGACAAGGATTCCACCCACACCTCACCCCTTGCCAAGCCAATCTGCAGTATCTTTGCTGTTGCTGGCATATTTTTTCATTCATAATTGTGAATCTCACCTTGTTCTAAGGGTTAAGTTCAGATCACGAGAAGGAAGGTTTTAAGTTATGACTTACCCAAAGTAATCTAAAAAAGCAACAACAAAAATATTCTGGCTCTATGGGGAAATTTGAACCCAAACCCTTTTGTTTTAAAGCCTTAAAATTGCAGGTAACTAGGAAAACCTTCCAGACCTAACTAATTAGGCGTGGAAAACCACCACCACAAACAAAACAAAACAAAACAAAACAAAACAAAACAGCGAAGTATCTTTATAGAGGCTGCTCACGATTTACCATAGTCTCAGGATCCTCCTTTCCCCCCACAATATAAATAAGGTGGGTTTAACTGGCTAAAAATTGCAATAATGCATCTACTGCTGTTAAAACCACACTTTAATCACACATGGTTGAGACAGGATATTATCTGGAAGAGGTGCTACATAGGCAACAGGGGGTTTTGTGGGCCTATTAATGCTGGAGGAAAGGATTGTTACATACACAGAAATTCTGGCACTGATTGGCTCAGCGAACGTCACCTGATTTGCATCAGTTGGCCCTCTACTATTTAGGCACCGGAGAGGTCCAGTGAAGCACGCACCAGTCAGGAAGGAGGTGGACACTTACTGCCTCAACTCTTATTTCTGTTATTTAATAAGAGGACAAAGGTAAACTTGTATAAAATCCCTGTTGTGCTGTCACAGTATTATATGCAATATTTAGTGGAAAGCCCTATTTACAGTTGCCTGTATTTTTTTTAATGATTGATTGATTTAATTTATAAATTGTGCCCAATAGTCTCACACAGGACTCCCTGGGTGGTGTACAACCAGGCAACCCAAAAATAAAAAGCCCTTATATAAATTATACAATAAATAATTGTTACTTTAAAATTTATCCTAGGACAGCATAGTGAATGAAGTCATCAATAAAAAAATATTTTTTATTTTCAATGTTTGATAAAAAAAATAAGAGTTGGAATAATAAAGACTTAAAATAAATTTAATAACTATAGCAAGGCTAATTAAAGCTAAGAATTGGAAAATAAAATATAATAATCAATTGACTGATTGGTATATATAAGTTTGGAATATAGCTATTAATGACAAATTAACATGTGAGATGAAAATGAGAAATGGGTAAAGAAAAAGAAGTTTAATGAGATTTGGGGTGTATTTATTGTGTTTTAAAGAAAGGAAGGGGTCTGAGCTATCAAAAGAATCATTACATTTTGGAAGGGGGAATGTCCTGAAATAGTTTTTTTCCCCCTCTTTTTTGTAACATGTAAAATTTATTTTTTGCTGTAAGTCAAATTCTAATATTGCATTTTAAATGTTATTTTGTTTGTATTTTAGATTGGAAATTAATAAAAATATTTTAACACAGTAAAATCAATCAATCTACAATTACAATTAATTCAATTTAATTCAACTGATTAACAATAAGTTAATCAGTACAATAAGTTAACTTGTTTAATTTCATGAATATGTTCATTCTTCTATATGAAAGCTTCTCAACCAAAAATGAGCTTTATTTTTAAAGCTTTTGCTCTCAGCAGCAGCAAAGAGAGAAGACTAACTTTTCTTCCCTCCGTGTACTTGCTTTCAGGCATAGAAATATCCCTCATGAATGGAGTTAGCAAATGCAAATTCAAAAGACCACTTTTTTAAAAAAGCAACCCCTGCTTCATCTAGACCACAAGCTCTCTGAAAGGTTGCTTTCTGCATTCATTACCATCTTAGTCAAGACACTGACCCAGTTCACACAATCTGGCGGCTCATGATGACTTTTTAAAGCAGCTGTGGGGTACAGCATGTCTCGAATACTCAAACCATGTCAGGGGGTTACAATGGCTTAATATGTCATCCAAACAACCCAAAATCTATGGGTTGTAGATGGTTTGTTGTAGATGGTTCATTAATTATGCCCACAACTCACCTTCACCAGGTTCAGCTATCATGACAAGCCTGAAATACACACCAAAAACTGTTACAGTGCAACATGGCTTAAATGAGCAAGCCATGATGGGCTGCAGTGTCTGTGTGAACTGGCAGTGTCTCTGGCAAGTAGTCTCCACGGAGGGGCAATTCTTGCTGAAAAGCAACCAAGGGAGAAAGACTCTTTCTATATACCACTGTATTATGTTTAGGCACCAACGTAAGTGCTTGTGAATGAAGCACAAGGTGAAGGGGCAAGTCCCACAAGTTGAAGAAGGGGCATCTTTCTTCAACATGGTGCTGTCCAGAGAGGTTGGATTACAATTCCACTCAGCTCTAGTTAGCAAGGTTAATGGTGACTGATGACAGAAGCATGCCTAGAAGGCACCAAGATGGGGAAGGCTTCTGTAAGGTATAATCAACCACTGCAGAAAACTGGCAGGTACCTGTCTTTTATCATGGATCTCCTACTCCAGAAGCAAACATCTCAATCATTACATATAATCAAGTCTAAGATGAAAGTGCTAGAAAGTCCCCAATTTTTCTTGTTGCTTCCAGGAATGCCACTGAAGTTTCCAATTCCCTGGGTTTGCATCCAGGTTCTGTCTTCTGCAAGAAGGTCTCACTACCCAAATATTGAGGATTCCGGTTCCCCTCCACACCACAGTTCATCCCATTCAGCAGGGTTTCTTGATTCTTTCGCTAGTCTTTTCTAAGGGGTGGAGATGCTGCTGTGGGCAGGAGGGGACAGGGAAATCCACAAGCACAGTTGAGCCAGCATGTCCCTGGCTCCCCTTATCTGTCCAGCTTGTAACAACTGCATTAAAAATCAAGCACCATTTCCCATAGGCAGATTTGTCTGGAATAGGAGGAAGGGAAATGAACGTCCAAGAGACTAATGGTGAGGGATTAGTGCAGGGCAATTAACGCTTAACTGCACTTTGCAGAAGTTAATGTGATAACATAAGGCCCCATCAGCACACACATTTCAACATTATGAACCAGAAGACACCTCTTGGAGAACAGGCAAATTTTTCTCAAATGTTCATTAGAAAATTTAGAAATACCTAATCAGGCTGAGGAAAGCTGGCCTATTTTTATCAATGCCTAGACACTCTTCAATTCTGACTAGCTACCAACGTAGCAAATCCCAGGATGTTACAGACACTCAACCACTCACTGGTGAACCAAGTCTGCCTTTGCTTTTTTCAGCCCAAGCCCATAACACATTGCTTTGCCACCCTTCGAATCCCTTTTCATTTGGTTATTAAAATTTATGCACACCTTGATTTGCTAAAAAGCTACCAAAGTGGTTTACAATAACCAAAAAATAGAACCCCAAAACAAATAAAAAGAATCTTTTTAAAAAGTAAAGTGTTACATCCACACATTTTAAACCACTAAATTGGAAAGATGCATCCTTGCATCCTTTTTAAAGACCAAATAAGTGGAGACCAGTTGTAGTTCTTGTTCCCTTGTCTGGGAACACAGGAGAAAGCTCTTTTGCATGGACTTGTGCATGAAATGGTGTCCTCAGAATGGGCTTTCCTGCAGATATTAATATTCAGGAATGTTTGTAAGACAGACAGTACTCTGATTTATTCACTCAATTTATACCCTGCCCTTTTCTTGTGAACTTCTCCTCCTACTGCTCTGAATCTTAGCTCCACAGCAACAACCCTGTAAGGTAGACTGGGCTAAGAGTCTGTGACTGGCCCAAGGTCTTCCAGGTGGCCCCATGGCCAAGCAAGGACACAAACCCAATCTAGAGCCAGTCTGAGCCCCAGTCCCACACTTTTAACCACTACACCACACTGGCTCTCTCAGATAGCCAGGTCTTAAGCCACTTTGGGCTTTAAGCATTGTGAATTGTGCCCTGAAGGGCAATCAACCAGCATCAAAGGTCTATCAAGCCATAGGTAACATTCACTGGTTCACAGCCTAGCTGTCTCGTTTTGCATTAACTGAGGTTCCTCTTCTTTTGCTATGCAGACCAGGGTTGGGCCAAAACCCTTCAGAATCCATCCCTCTAGCATCCAGTGTACGTCCTCTTCAGTGCTGAGCCTCATCCAGTGAAGTGAACCAAGCCAAGAGGAAGTCAGTGAATGCTTGTGGAGCTCGGGATGCACAACTGACAAGCTTCCCTGTCAGGAGCAGTTGCAGGGCACAGAAGAGAGGTGCCTCTTGCCAGGCACCTTTCCTAATAGCCAGCCTTTTTCCCCACTTGCTGCTGCCAGAAGAGGAGTGCTGTTTGGATAAATGGGGCTTGATCCCTGGTGAGTGCCCTGCAGATGCTGGGCAACCTTGCCAGGAGCTCAGAGTCTGGGCCACTGCAAAGCAGGCCAGACTCCGGGGAGCCAAATCCAGGAAATCCAATAGATTGCCACCCCCAACAGATTCCTCACACATCCCTCACCATCTGCTGTCCTCTGCAACACTGTACTTTGAAGCCACTGTATTTCACAATCACATTGCTTGAGAAATGGACAACAGATAAACCTGGCTGGTTTTGCCCAACAGCTGGCCACAGAATCAAACTTTAGGTGGGCTTCTCTATCTCAGTCTTACTCCTTGTAACAGTGATGACCAAAACAGAACCTGAAAACTCACCTTTTGTTCTAGCTTAATCCCCTTGTTCCCATGCCTACCTGTAAACCAACCGAAGCATGAAAAACTGAATTGCCTACTGCTTCCCCACTGCCGCTCCCACAGCTTTCCCCGTTGCTTCCTCCATGCTGAATTTTGGACTGGAAGCTACTTGGGCACGGGCCTGGCCTTCTTCATTAAAGTGCTATGCAGGGTGAAGGTACTAACAAACCAGAACACATAACTCTCCATGCCAGGAAAGCTTCCTTGCACACAAGTGACCCTCCCCTCCCCACTCAAGTACTTACAGATGCACTGGAGGTGCCCAATGAACTTGTGCTGGCAGCGGGGATGGAGTTTTCTGAGGAGGTGGAGAGCTGCCGCACAAGGGGACCGTGAGCCGTGGAGGCCATAGCGCTCGACAGGTAGCTTGGGCCTCCGATATCTGCGTGGTGCTTCAACACTGTGCAAAAGGGAGCAAACGAAAAGGCAAAAGATGGTAAGCTGAATAATAACTGCTTCTTCACAAATGTTTGCACCAAGCTGTAACTGAGCGATTGACATGAAAGAACTAGAGAGCGGACAAGAGAGAGGGACCTCCTCAGACAGGACCTGCTTCCCTGAAGGAAGAAGCTGTGAAAGCACACGAGAGGCTGCAGCATCTGACAGCACTGCCCCCTTTATTGCCCCAGAAGCAGCAAGCACCCTTCTCCGAAGCTGAAGGGGAACAGGAATGCGAACCCAAGCTCTCCCCGGACAGACCTGGCTGTGGCCAGCCTACCTTCACTTCTCTCGGAGGAGCTGTCCCGCAATCGCTTTCTCTCATGAACTGGAGTCAGGATAAGTGAGCGCTCAGGCGCCCTATCGGCCTTGGGAGCAGCCCTTAGATCGTCTAAGGACTGCCTGTGTGCCTTGTCTGGCTCGATTTTGTGATGCAAGCAAGCTGAGGAGTGGAACAGAAAGAGAGCCATGAAAACGCCCTGCTTTCACCTCTCTTTCCTGGCCTTCAGGGCACAGCTGTCACACAAGGGGCCCTGCTGCAGAGATCCAGAAGAGGCCAGGACTCACACAAGCACTGCAGCACGTTATGGTCAGAACAACACAGAGGTGCTGTCTGCAGCAACTGCCCCTAAGTGACAACCCACAGCAACCTGCTTCTCCCCGTCGCTTATTATCTGCTCTTCCAGGCACCATGCATGTGAAGCTGAACAGTCAGCCTCACCTCTTTAAATCTGATGACGTTCTAGAGTGGGAGAGTGGGAGAGAACCATGTGTGGCAGGACTCCCTCAACCTCTGGAGCATTTGCAGCTGTGGCGGCAATGCAGCACAAAGGCAGGACAGAGGGCAAGTGTGCAGTTGCTGCAAGACACTGCCTCCAAAGCTAGCCAAGTGCACAACTCCTAGCTGCTCCCAGACATCAAACGGCTTTTAAAGCCTAGCTTCCATTCTCCACAGCTCGCTTCATGCCCACAAATTTGGAACTCTGTGGCACCTGCAGTCTCTTGTGGGTCTGAGAAGAAAGTCCTAGTTGGCTTTATATGACCTCGGTAAAACATTTTGGCAAATCAACAACAGGGCCTTGCTAGTGCCTCTGTTTTAAGCAATGACCTACCTTTTCAGCTGCATCAATTCTGTATAATATTCCTGATACTGAGACAAGATCATCCATGCAAAATGGAGGAAGGGATAGCATACACTCTGTACATTTGGGGGTATATAGCCAGGGCTTAATAATGTTGTGGTGGACCTGGTTTTGAATACCAGGACATAGCCCCAAGATATGTGCACAGCACCTTTCCCACATCACTAAGCCAAATACAGACAGGATTAGTCCAAAACAATTCCTAGGTGGGACAGCCTGGAACTCAGGACACCTGAGTCCTAACCTATTCCTATCTTGTAATGAGATGGATTTTGTAAAATGTGACTTTGCATCCTGAAATTTCTTCTCTGTCAAAGAGATGCATTTTACACTGTAAAATATTTAAGCAAATTCCCCACACGGTCTTTTAAAAACTGAACTATAGCTACATAGCTGCTCTCCAGCAGAGCATGTATGAAACAGACCATACTACTATTTTATTTATTTATTTATTTATTTATTTATTTAATTATATTATTATTATTATTATTATTATTATTATTATTATTATTAAAACATTTTTATGCCGCCCCATTCGCCGAAGCCTCGGGGCGGCTTACAACATTCTATTGAGAAAAGGATACCAGAACTTAAGGCTGCAGTTACATCTACCAACCCAGAAGCGTGCCTACACTTGCAGACACATGAAGCCTGCCTGTGCTATCAGGGCAGAGAAACATACTTGGCCCATGCACAGAAGCACTCTCTTGTTTGCTATTTCACTTCTTCCAGGGTGGAGTTCTAGCATGAAATCAACTTCCAAGGCAAGGCTCTGGCTCATATTACTCTGCTATGGGACACACAGTTGGACAGTTCCTGCCAATGAAAGGCCAAAATCAAGATACAACACTTACTGGCTGCAGCTAAGAACGTATTAACCAGCTTGTGACGGTCCTTGCGCGCAGAGTCAGACAGATTGCTGGGAGGCATGGCGGGCCGGTGTTTCAAAGTGAGCTTTTTGGGAGGTTTGATTTTCTCACAGGGCTTGTTCTGTAGCTGAGATTTCAACATGCTCTGGAAATGCAAGCTCATTGGTACATCTGCAGAAGAAGGCACATACATGTACACACTTTGAAGGTGGCATTACAAAAACATCATCTCCAAATGCACTTACCACATACATTTTATGACTTGTAGGTGACTGTCAAAGATTTGTGATGGTGCAGAGGAGAATGTTGCCAAGGGTCAGGTAACTGTGTGCTACACCAAACCAACGCCCACCCTGTTACTGGTTATTTGAGGATCAGTGGATTTAACTAGCATGGAAGAGGTCACAGCGCATGTGAAACCAGCATCTAACTTATTTTTGAAGTGCTGAAGTAAGAGGTAGAGTTGAGCCCTATTAGACAAAGCAGCCCCATACCTTCTGAATGTCAAAAAATGCAGAACCAAGGCTCGAACTGGGGCATGTTGAATGCAGTATAACTACTGCTTACTTATTAACTACTGCTCCATTTTGGGGCCTAATTCAAGAATTCCTAGTTCTTGGACTTTAAAGCCCTATGGGTCCCCCCCAAACTGGTGCCTGCCAGGTATTTTGGAGCTGAACTCCCATCAAGCATTCCAGCCAGCATGGCCAATGGTAAGGAATGGTGGGAGTTCTGGTTCAAAACATCCAGAAGCCACCAGGCTGAGGAAGGATGTCCCACCTGATCTGGGACTCATATCAGGAGAACTGGCCTATCTCAGATGTATTTAGTTGGGTATATTCCAGTCAGCTTCTGAAGTCTTACATGGGGTTCTCCGGCCTTCAGAAGGGATACAGGTGGTCAAGTTTTGCTATCCCCTCCACAGGGAGGCCTAACTACCTCCTGCTTACCTCTCACCCAATAGTAAAGACATGGATCATCAAATAAGTTTGCTCATGCACAACTGTATGATTTGTATAGTAAGGTGTTGTTGATCTTAATGCATATTTATGCATTTTCTGCAATTTCACAATTACATATTTATTGTTTCATTATTTGCAGCTTTTATTTGAAAACTGCCCTTTTGGGACTTAAAGTAGAATGATGAAATAAAACACTAAATACATGTATGAAAATATTTATGGAAATAAATGTATGAACAGTGAATTACTGAGTACCACCTCTAGCTAAGAAGAGACAGAGAACATGTTCCAGTCAGGGGCTCCTGAAGCAGGAGGCAGGCCTCTTCAGCAACACAGAAAGAGGTAGCCGGACAGACTCAAGCTCCCTACCCAATTTCCATCCAAGATCGGGTAAACTGTACAGCATGCTAAGTCACCCTGAGAACAAACAACAGCAGGTGGGTGGCTTGTCTATGACTCCTGACAGATAATTGCCTGCTCGACAGCTTGCTATGGCTTGTTTCTCTCTCGGTTGTCCCAGCCACTGCTGACACATATTGCAGGGGGCCTTCTGGCAGAAATCCTCATTCCCTGTGTCAGTACCCTTTCTGTTACTGGTCCACCAGGACTGCCTGCTCACAAGGGAAACTCCTCCACCCTCCCACATCAGATCACCAAAGAGATTTAGGTTTCTGAGCCCTTAATATGTCTGCAAACCATTTTAGCCTTTATTTTAGGGGGTCGGGTCTTGTACATTCACAGGACTGCAAATGAATCCAGTATAGCCAGATCCTCCTCCTCCTCCTCATGTTCTTCTTGACATCCTCCCCAACTCAGGCAAAATCAAAACTCCACACTGCCACCCTCCACATCAGATTGCAAAAAGGAAATATTTATTGGATCCCTTATGAATGTGAGGGTGCATTTTCTTCGGCATCTTGTACAAGACTGGCTGTGCACTACTTAGCCTATCATATCAATAACCCCCATTATCAATGGCCTCACCAATTTCATCCTCCATTTCCCTATACTTCGGGTAAGGGGTGGTTTCCTTTTGATGCGTTTTGACCAAGCCTGCTTCATGATTTATTGATGAATAATACCAACCCCTTAAGCTCTCTCTCTCCTGCAGCTGGATCCATCAGGAGTCCTTCCTTTAAGATTTCTAGGGTGAAAAAATTAAACATCCATCCTGAGCCAGAGGATGTTGAGAAGGAATGAGAGATAATGGTGACAGCAAGAGAAGTTTGTGAGGAGCGATGGGATTTTGCAGCTCTTGCCAGAAGGCTCTCTAGTTGCTCCTGACAACCCACAGCACGATAAACCTGCTGTGCTCAGGCATCACAACCACCCCCCGCCCACAGAACAAGCCACCCTAAAGGACCCTACCACAAGTTATGGATTCTCAGGGTGATTTGTGTGAGGAAAATAACCTATGGCTAAAAAAGAAAAAAATGCTCTGGATTTGGAATCATGCTAAGCCTGCCCGCATCTACCCACAATAACAATGCATTGCCACTTAGCATGACATGCAAACCAGGTCAAAGCCTTTTTCCAGGTGTATAAAAATCAATGATTAAAATAAACCCAAACCCATCCCCACTCCAGGTTAAATAGATTTTTAAACTTCTCTAATGGCAAATGCTATTATTAAAGCATCCCACAGTTACTCCCCAAATGAAATCAATGCCTCTAAAGGAAGAACAGATTTGATCATTTCTCAGCTATGAATATTTACACTTTACCTACCAAACAAAAGTAGTTAATTTTCAGCTAGTGAAAACAAACTGCTATAGACTGTCCAGATCCTACTTCTACATATTGTTCATAGGCATTTCATTCTTGATTGTGACTTCTATTTTTGTAAGAGTGGGGCAGGGCCAGTATAAAATGAAGGAGAAAGAAGCAAAACGACACCAGAAAAAAAAGGGAAACAACATTGTCCAGTGTCCACACTTAACCAGACATACCCCCAGGGATGCGAGTCATAGAAAGCCCCTGCATGGGCATATCCTTAAAACACTCCCTCCACAGAAAAAGCAGAGCAGAGCCAAACACATACAATGTGACAAAAAAGGGCATGTCCTGGTTGTAAGAATTAACTAGCAGTAAAATCTATGCTAAAGACAGGGTATAAATATAACAACAATAATAATTATTATTATCATCATCATCCATCTAAAAACTGCTTAGAGGTCAGATCTGCCCCACTGTTTCAGAAATATGTGAGAAGGTATCAATGGGAAACCAGATTTAAATCAATGATTTAAGTCACCATTTATCTTGCTGATTTAAATGATTATTTAAATTACCTTAATTTAAACCCAGCCACCACAACATTTTGTCTGGGAAGGAACTACAGGAGTACTAGCCCCAACACTGACTGGAGCCAGCATTCAGAACCTCCAGCTCTCAGACACACAAGCATGTGATGTTGTGTCATGTCCCTATACAACCATGCTCATCCCTGAACTTTCAGACTGTTCTTACATGAGGGAGAGGGGGTGCCCTGGACAGGTTCTGTCTATGGCAGCCTAGTGGGTTCTATACCTGCCCTGAATGTGTGAAAGGGAATGTATACACAGAGACCATGGAGTAGACAGGAAGAGAATTAAATCAGCCTCAAGCAACACACACAGAGAGCAATGAGAGCCCGACAGAGAACCCTGAAGATGAGATTAGAAGACAAGAGAAGATTGTGAAAAACTACCCCGAGACACTCACCTTGCTGTTTTTAAGGGTAGTTCTGGTGGCAGGGAAGACTTCTTTTTTCTAAATCATTTTAATCTCAAGCTATTTAGTGTGTTTACTCTATTAGACTAATTTGCAAGGCGTACTTTTGGCTTTATTTCTTTCAGTTTTATACTGTAGGTTGCTTTATTTAGCGTAATCTTTAGCTGTTTTATTTTTATGGTCTTAAACATTTTTATTGATAGCCTTGTCAGTTGATGGGCAGTATACAAGCATTGTTGATGAAACAATAAAATGGTTAGTAAAGGAAAAGACTTAAGGTGAAAAGACCAGTTGGACAACAGGAGAGCAGCTGACGAGATAGTATGAGCTGGGGATATTAATAGAAAGAAGCTTAAGTGCCAGGCTGAAAGGGGGAAGAAAACACAGACACACGCATGCTGCAAATACATTTTAAACCATCTGACATTGCAGCCTGCCTTAACCACAGCTATACGCTAGACACAATGGGAGGAAAAAGATGGTGACCACTGGATATACAAACATTCAAGGGGGTTGCTCTGTGTGCTCTGTTTGTGTCTGTGTGTGGTTACATGAGACAGAGAGAAAGAGGAGAAAGCACATCACCATTTAAGACAAATATTTCCCGCTGATCTTCCAGCCCAGCTGAAAATGCAACCACCTAGTTTAGTTTTCCTCGAGCTTCCTGCTACAATGCTAGCCAATGTCTTACTGCGCCCAAACGGCATCATGACCTGCTGACAGAGAAACAGACAGCTTCTCTATCCAGCCAAGTGTTTCAAGGCAGCAAGGCTCCTGAGGGCCCCCAGATGGCGCTCGCCTAGCAATTTTTAAAGCCCTGATTAACATCCTTTTCACCAAGGTTGTTATGATGTTATTACGTCATCTGGAAATTTCCAGTCAGAAACCAAATTGTCCAGACGAGGGCACACTTTATGAACCAACTCATACAGTGGAGCGAGAACCCAGCGGAGAGCGGGGAAAGAGACGCTTGCTTGCCTAACTGCTTAAATGATTCCTACTAGGTCTCCAGCAGTGCATGCAATCCAGCACAGGCACTGGCAAACTAGGTCAGGAATGCCTGGGAGTTGGTGCCAATGTGGCTCAGCGCCCTAGGAGGGCCAAAAGATATTCCTTCCCAGGCATTCTCTTGTCCAGAAACAGCCCAAGCTCTGCAAACCAGGTGGCTGCCTGCTGATCTCAGAGAGGGGGAAACTATCACCATCAAAATGCTGTCTACTTCCAAGGGATCATTATAGGGCCTGCATGACTATGGGTCTGAGTATTGGTCCTTACATAAGGCTGGGGAAGGAGATAATCCATATGCTGCTCTCCCCACTATTCAGACTTCAGAGAGGGTTTCTCAACTCAACTTACCATCTGGGAATGAGAGGACAGGGTGGATGCAGGAGTCCAACTGTGAAAGACGTTCCATCAAAGGGGCTTCATACTGGATTTCTGGAGGCACTGAGCTCCGCGTGCCACAGAGTACGCACATGGGATTCACGTCACAGTTGCACCGACCCATGCTATTGCGATGAACCTGGGTACAAGAAGGAATGGGGAAATGGCAAAAGTAGAAAAAGTAGTCAGTCTACCTCTACTGGCCTCTTTATTTCACATATAGCTATTGACAGTATCCTGAATTGACTCACAGGAGATGTGCATAACCACCCTACTGGAACTTTTATCGTTTATGGTGAACTGACACAAGATGGCCTGCTACAACTTCAGGCTCAAGGACCTCACAGTGCATCCAGGATCAAAGCTGTCTGCCCCCCAAATTCTCTCCATTTCGGAACAATCAAGGAAGCCATATTCCCATTTCATGAAAATGGCTTTCACACATGAACATGCCACATTAACCATATTCACAACTCAAAAAGAAAGGAAAGCAGTTTCACAATTGACATTAACAGTAAATACAGGTCTGGGTGCAACGAGCAGGCCCTAGTGAACAGGTCTGCAGAAAGCACTCAACCAAGGGTTAATTAACTTGGGCTCTGTGTAAGCAAGGATGTGGCATCTCAACCCCTCTCCTTTGCATCCTGTTTAGCAAACAACTCAGTAACAGTCTCTGCCTGGGTTGTGCAGCAAGAAATGAGAACGTGGCACCCTGAGTAGGTGAAGGAGGAATTACCCAGAGTTTTTGACCCATCAACAAATCATGGCTTATTAACACTGGGTTGCATCACCATCCCACTTTGTAACTAGCAATCAAAGCAGCAGCACATATGTACAAAATGTGCCTACAGTACCAGTATTTAAAGACTGCTTTTGGGAAACAATTTGGGTTACCGTGGTAAATGACTGTGCACTTCTTTTTAGTGACACAGTCCTAAGTGTGCTCCATTATTTCTCCATATTCAAAATCATTCTGAATTCAAATGTTGTTCTTCCCCCAACAACAGGAGCCAAACCCTTAAACTGCCTAGGGGAAAGGATCTCTGTACCATTCCACACAACACATTTTGCCTTGCTAGGCATTTTGCTCCCTTTAGTGTCATCTGCTCAATAATCCAACAGTAGAGACATGTTTACAGAGGGTCACTGACTCAAGTTCACCCGCTATTTCAAGGCTTTTCAAAATTGTGAAGCCAGCTTCTATAGAGCAGAACAGACAATTGCTAAGAAAAGCAAAAGCCCCTTCTTTTGCCCATTCTCTAGTCAAAAGGCCCAGGCATAAGGTACCTTCTCATGCAATGTAATCCAAGGAAGGAAGGACAACTACAAGCCTAAGAAAAGGCAATCCAGTCAGGACAACATCTGACAAATGTTGCCTAATCATACATTGCAGAGACTTGGTGAATCATTTTTCTAATGATATGGATGCTGAGATAGAACTGTAACATGGGGAAATTCATATTTGGGTCTCTCCCCCAAATTTGGACCACAGGATTCTTTTCACTTCCGGCTGTAGATATCACATCTACTATCTTATACCATTGTGATAATCAATAAGAAGTCTCGCTTTTAAGTGAAAGTCAGAAATGATACCATCTTCTTCCACACCAACCTTTTTGGAGAGTGGTACTAGGCTGCTGGGCCGAACAAGCCGTCGCTTCTTGCAGCTGAGGACAGGGCGTGTGCGGGCCGCTACACAGGTTCCATCAGGAGCTGAAGACACAGCGTTTAGTCTCTGCTTTTTACGCAACAGCTCCTCAGCATCTGAGCCATCTCCCTGAACATGCTCTGTCAAGCCTGGCTGTAGACTGCCCAGTAATGGAAACAAACATGAGTTAAATCTTGCAACCTCCATCACAGCCATCCTGTCAACTCAAGTGTACCTAGATTTCCCATGGTTTTTAAACAGAGAACAATCTGCCCATGTCACCCAGTAAGTTCATATTCACAGTGAGAGATTCAAACCAGAGTCTGACTGAAACAACACATTCTCGGTTAGCAGAAACTAAGTCGCACTGAACAGAGGGAGCCACCCTGCACACCAGCGGATCGTTGCTCTCCCTCTTGCTCAGTGCTGTCAACACTGTATGTCAGCCGCTTCAAACAGACTTCACTTGAAACAGGACTTTACCTGTGTTCTGCCACTAAACCTGAACCCTTCCTGTTTCTCCGTGTCCCTCACATACCCTTCTGCTTCTTGCTGATTCCTACAAAGAATTATGTGGGATCACATTTATCTTATTCACTGTTCCCACAGTGTTCTTTCCCTCCACTATTACTTTATCTATTTGTTTGACTTATACCCCAACCTTTCTACCAAAAAATGGCCATTATGGCAGCTTAAGGAAGCAACTGACATTAAAATAAAATAGTACCTTAATATAAAGCATAGCCACTACAGAACAAATATGACCCAAACTAGCATCTAAGCCAACAGACCCACTAATAGGCCAAAGGCTGCCAAGGCATTCTTTGCTTGCAGGCAGAGAGGGATCAAACCTGTCTTTTCCTTGAAAGGCATTTTCACATCCAGGAAACAGCTACCAAAGGGCCCCCTCTTGGGTCACCAAGCTTACCCCTGGATGTGATGGTCTCAAAAGAACAGCCCTTCAGGTAACTTGGTCCCAAGCCATACAGGGGCTTTATTCATCATAACCAACACTGCTGGAAACAGACCAGCAGCCAGTTGCTCTAACAAGGGCGCTTCATGCTTCTTGTAACTGGCATGCCCCCGCAATGTAGCTATGCTATGCCTGTAGGCACACTCCAACAGCCCAGATTCCTTCTCGCAGTCAAATAAAATCCTTCTCACACAGAAACCTCACAATTACCAGCTATCTCTCCCTGCCTATGCTCCAACCATGTCCTGTTTGATGCACTTGAGACGCCAGCTGCTAATGCTGGGGCTTCAAGCCTAACACAGTCAGTGGCCTTCAGGTGAGGAAGACTGTTTACTACTCCGTTCTTCTGATCAAAATAATAAAGTTCTGTTCCCACCCATCACTGATTTCTAGACTATTTGGACCAAAAGGGTTCTCGGGAAAATATACACTAACGCTGAATAAATGCTATAAACATCAGGAATAGTTTGGCACAGGCAAAATTATTAGCCCTAGACCTGCAAGTGATTTGCTGAAAATACTCTTTCAGAAGCATCATTCTAGACTAAACGCATATTCTTTCAAGTGGGTCTCTGCAAAAGCCTTACGTGTTAATAACTCCATTGACCGGTCTCGGCACTCCACAGGTTTTGGCAGGAAGGGACTCTTGGGTATTGCCAAAAGATGCACCAAGATTCTCTGACGGCTGGGTGATACAAGTACCCTGTAAAGGTGAGGCAGCAAGAGAGAGAAACTGTCAGACATTAGAAGACCCTGATGAGGAACACATTTCTTGACAAAGCACTAGAAATAACCTAGAGTGACTTGGCACCTGGAAGACCAGGAGTTTAGATTTCTATGTCTACAACATCTGCTTTGTGCTTCTTAGTAACAAGGTACACAAGAGAATGGTACATGAGTTGATGCCTTCAATACCTCAATGAATTAGAGGCCCCTAAGAAGCATTTCCTTCAGCCTTCACAAGCATTCTCCGCCTTGGAAGCAAAAGGCGGTCAGGCAGGTCTGTCTCTTTTTTAATGTAAGGCTGTCTATTCTTCATGAGATCTATCATGTTATTATGGAAGACAGTTTTCATAGCTGAGAGGGTCTTCCTATACTCAATTTCAGACGATAAAGCACACAAAAATCCCACAACAAGGTTAACACACTTTGCCATTTCCTAAGTCTTTTGAAGTTGACCCACAGGCTGTTCATCTCTTTATGGAAACAAAGGTTTGTTAAGTCTCCCATACAATTATTTTCACACATTTTAAGATTCTAAGTAAGCAACAAGTGCACAGCCCTTACCACTTGCAAGAATAAATAAAATAAAATGCTCCTAGTTACCTCTTTTAAAAACCAAGTTAGTTTTTGTGCCTGCAAAGAAAATTGAAGAAAAATACTCCAACTGTGAAGTTATAGAATTAAATGGATAGCTGAAATGGAGCAATAATTTACAAATGATTTGACTTTCCCATTCAAGCAGGTATATTTTAGGTTGAATATCTGAATTTATATGCATGGTCTGTCTCAATGTCCCTTTTAAAGGCATAATGAATAAAACAATATATTCTTGACACTCTTGATCCTTTAGATGAACAAAACTAAATGAATTCACAAAGCAAATCAAGAATGGTTCAGATGGACATGACAGAATCCAGGTACCAAATCAGTATTTTAATTTCTAAAGGGTTAGTTGTGTGACTGTTGAAGCAAATATAGAAAAGGCATTTCAGGACACCTTAAAGATTATGGTATAGCCATTGTGTATTAGATTCCCCTAAATCAGATGGTAGGAGCGTTATCCTCTGTTGGCAGGCAAGGATATAAAGAAAAAACAATGTAAGTAGTGAGTTCACATGGAAATTAAAAGCAAAAAATACTATACTTTTTAACAATAGGTACCACTTCAAGCATCTGATGGAATGGAATCCAGCCTATGAAAGCTAGTAACATAATAACTGTGTTAGTACTGAAAGTGCCACAAGGCTTTGCTTTTCCAGCTCGCTAAGAAGTGCCCAAGTGCAAACCCAGAATGCTGCTGAGCGTGCTGGCACAGAGTGCCAAATGAACAGGCTTCCACATGGGTTATGGATGCATTACTGAAACTATTCTATTATCCTTTTGCAATAAGGGTTTTTTTGTACTAATACACTCTTTCTTATATATGGCAACGATATCCAGATATTTTTAAAAGGCAAGAGAAGGTACAGTGTCCTCAATGGAGGATGGAGGCCAAAAACAGCTGAACTATCCAACAACTGTTATTGTTTATATTGTTATATAGCAATACCTGTTAAAATCTACTCTAAAAAAAGCACACGCACACACACACACACACACACAATTTAACATGTGTTATAATCCTGCCTGGGCAAACGTAGCTGACATGCTGCATCACAACATCTACACAATTTTTGTGGGCCAGGAAATAAAAAGCTGCTGTATAGAGAGAGATCATGGGTTCTGCCATGCACATGCCTTACAAAAAGGCCAGGGAGAGTATCTACAAGCAAATAAAGTGGGTGACAAATGCTGAACATCTCTGAGAAATTCCCAGGCATAGCTAGAAATGTTCTGGTCAACCACCTATTTAAAATTATCCTGCTAGTATGAATGTTGATATCATAGAGCCCGCTATGAAACCACCTGATCACTAACTCTGAACCAATCTGGGATTGGCCAATATCTAGCTCAGAGCACAGTCACATGGTCTGCTCTGAGAAAACAGGTGGAAAGCGGGATACAATTCTCCCTCCATTCCCTGCCCTACAAAAACCACTGCCTATAGATCTGCTGCTGACTCCTAGAATTTGCTCCTTCTCCACATCAATTGCAGTGCTGTTTAAATTGTTCTGGCTACTTTCCCTAGTCAGGTGCACTAATGCTGCAGAGTGTTTTATTTGTTATTACAGTTAGTTTTACAATACACCTTAAAATTCTTTCATGAACTTGCTGCAAGTTTCCTTGAAAGACACAGAGAGACAGAACATACATTTTAAACATTAGAATAAGTGTTTGATTCTAATAATTAGAAAATTGCACTCCAGCACTGTGAGGAAGCAAATACTAATCTCTGGCCCACAGTAACATGCAATCCTAGGAAAACACATGTTCAAGAGGAAGGATGAATCATTGATACAGGGCCACCTACACTCTCGGGGAAATATTATCCACTTGGTCAGAGACAAAGTTCAAGAGAAGATGAAGTCTTAGGGAAGGAAGTGCTAGGTATCCCCTCCCCCATCCCTTGCTCAAACCTGGTTTCACCCAACAATCTACTTAAGGATAATGGGGGAAACCATGAGTAGGAACTATTACATGAAACCATTTACAGATGCATCATTAAAGTATATTTTGGGTGTTTGTTTCTACTGTATGTACTACTACCAAGTCTAAAGAAGGTAACCACATCTGATACACTGAGTCTAGGAAGCACTGAAGATTCCTTTAGTCTAACTTTCCTTCAAAAACTTCTCCAGAATATTTTTGCTAAAGTTTATAAAGTTTCTAGGAAATGCAGCATTATTTCCCCCAGGCAACATGGAATCTGGATGCAAAAATAGTTTCCACTGAAAAATCAATGCACAAAGCAAAACATGGCACAACAGAAAGCATCAGTTGATCTGGTAACACAGTGGGACCCTTGCCCTATACTTGATCCTGCACAAGACCCACTGTGCTGCGTCTTATGGATTCGGCAACTTGCACCTGAAAGTTTTGGTTGTACCACAGCACTATCTACAGAGACCCTGAAGTATGTAAATTCAGTCTTCTCCAAATACTGGGGCAATAACAACAAAAGGCCAAAAGCTAATAGGCAGAGGTTTTATTCAGTTTTTAAAGGCTGAAATGCGACAAATGCATAACACACATTTGCTCCATACAGATGCAGACAATATACACAGGGTACTCCAAAAATGAAAGAAGAAAATGATTAAGGGAAGTTCACCAATCAAATATCCCCCATGGGTCGGGGGAGGCCCGATATCTCAGTACTCACCAGCCTGTCAATCCCTGGCTCCAGCTTGATGTCAGGATTCAGAGTGTGGGATGAATCACCTAATACAGGGTCAGAGGGAGGCGCCTCTCCAAGGAGAATCAAACCCTGAAAGACACAGGGAAGAGCAAGTTGGTGCCGCTTTGCTGGGTTAAAGTCTCTTCCAAGCAACTCCAAGAACTAGATTCAACATTACATTTCTATAATTAGACTGCTTCCTTCTCTGCATCTAGTCTCTTCTCGCCCCTTCTTAAAGCTCTACTGTATCTGTAAAGTTTCCCACAGCCTTCTCAATTTATCTACATTTCTGAACTAGTTAACACTCTTTTATCCATTGTGCTGTTTGATTAGTTATCTCTTCAGTGAAGAAATCAAGGCACAGAGTGGGAAGACCCATTCCATCATAATTCACATTTATTTCTGCATATGTGATGCAACCTGGAAAAGTCTGGGGAGGAAAGTAATTAGCTGCCCTCTTAAAAGTCAGTTCAATGGTGCTAGAGAGAAATGTTGCTCCTTTTGGTTCTCTGGCAACAGGTAGAGCATTGTTTCATACATGGTATCTCTATGTTTTTCTACAACACTTTCCCTTCACTGATAAGCAATGCCTTCTTGGTGACTAGCAATCAGAGCTACAAGCAACTGAAAGGACTTGGCTTATATCAGAACGATTCTTCATAATATTTATCTGCCAAATGTGCAGTTTTTGGAAGTCATTTTAGTACTCTAAATGTTCTTTAACTTAGATTCTAAAGGTGATGAAAAATTTTAAAAATCTGCCTTCTAATTAGAGTGGTAGCTTGTAGAATATTAAATATAAGTTTTTTCAACTTCCCTACTATCTCTGTGCCTGACTTAAAGACACACATTCACTTGTATGCACTCTTTCTCCCCTCTCACAACACTCCCCTCCATGTACATGACTTATTGCCACTTACAACTGCATTTACATTTAAGCAATTAAAAAAACCTGAAAGATATTTTGTTGACAATGGTAGCTTTCCTAAGCTGTCTGTCCCTGCATTCCTTATGGGCAGAGGATATTAATCCTTTCCTAATACAGAAAATCTCTGGGTTGTGAACAAGTTACATACCTGAGAAAATGGAAATTCATCTTTATGTTGAATGTTTATGTAAGGTGGATCAGATGTGGTTGGCCCTCCGCATTTGTAGGTGTTAGGGTGCAGGACCCCCGTGGAAGTAGAAAAGCCACAAATATCTCTACCCTCCCCCACCAGTGCTTCCTTCTTTGCAGTAAGGAAACATCAGAAAGTTTTCCTCCTCCGGATGGGCAGGGAAGGAAGGCATGGTTTGGAGGCCCTCCCTCTCTCCCCTTTCACTTCCTCCCTTTCTATAGTGATGATGATTTTCCTCAACATTTTTTTAAATTAATAGACTTCATGGCAGTTCATTTTTAAGTATGGGTTGTTCATAACTTGGATGTTTGTAATTCAGAGACCACCTGTACTTAGAGAGCACTTGGGACTTTAAGTAAGACTTATAGAGGGAATAGAAGGAGTTAAGCCACTTCAACACCAAACAGGAAGTTGAAATGTGGTGCACATGTAATCCAATTCCTTCCAAATTCTAGCAAGTCTGCACTTTACCTTGCAGTAGCTGCCCGAATTCTAGCAGAACACAATCTAAGTCACTCATGGACAGAATGGAATGATGTGGAAGTTTCTTCCCATAAAGCTCAAACAGCTTCTTTTATCAAGAGATTCATAAAATGACAGCCATGAATGTATGTATGCTTGCAAAATGCAGACTGCATTTGCTAGAGCTTATGCATTTACTAAAGACAGCTTTTATTGCAGGATCATGGGCTTTTAGTATCTCAGTACAAGAAAAACAAAGCTTTTGGGCCAGGAGCATTTACAGTACAGTAGGCAAGTATTCAAGTTAGACGGAAGTCTTCCAAGTAAAATAAAGGGGTATAATTATTTCTAGAGCACTTGGTATGTGCAAAGATCTCAACTGCCTTTATTCCATTAATCCTCAAACCCTCTAAGAAAGTCACATCAGCATTCCTGTTTTCAGTGCAGACCCCAAGTTTTGCAGGGCTCTTGGCCAAGAGGCCCTCTGGGAACCCCTGTGGCAGTACAGGTCAACACGCTTGCCACTGCTGCCATTAGCTATTCACACACCCTCATTCTCAGGACTCACTCTCCCCACCCATCTAGCATCAAAGCTCAAGGTGTCACCTATATGGCAAAGAGGATGTGAAGCAAGCTAGAAACTTCAAAAATGGGCAGACTTCTCCACAAAATGTGGAAGATGTGGAGAATAGGTATGACAATACCAGGCTGTAAAAGTAATTTAATACTGGGAATATGACATCAAAATGCTTGAAGTGAACTTGAGCTAGGTAATTATTAAAAACAAAACAAACAAATCACGAAGGTAACCAAAGAAGAAAGTGTTAAAAAATGGGTGATTTCAATTATCTTCACATAAATGCATGCTCTATTCACAGAAAAGAGGTTTAATTTATTCATACCCTAAAGGACAGTACCCAGAACAAGTGGCCACATGATTGATCAGAGCAGAGGCAGACCTGGACTTAATCCTAAGTGGTGCCACCAAGACCTACAGTGAAATCTGAGTGCTGTCAAGCCAACTGGAAGCAGGGACCAAAATGCTACCTAATTTATTTTACATGTGATTTTATGTTCAATTTTGATGTAAAAAAATTTCCAGGAAGTCACACATAGTCATATTTGACTTTAAAAGGGTAACTATCTAAAAATGAAGGACGGGATCAGTAAAAGGGTAGGTGAAAGGAAGTGTCCAGGGGGTTACAGCTCCATCAAACACTTGGAAGTTATTCAATCCACTAGAAGCTCAGTTAGAATGTACACTTCAGGTCACAAAAGACATTACTAAGCCTAAAAGGTTACCAGCATGGTTAACAAGTAGTATCAAGGAAGCTATTAGAAAAAAATAAGGCTTTCTTCAGAAACTAGAAGTATGGCTCGCATGAGAACAAAAAGGAAATCAAACCTTTACAAAGGAAATAAAAGCATATAGTAAGAGATGCAGAAAATTACTACAAATAACAAGCCTAATAATAAATTATTTAAATACAACAGAAACCAGCTAAGAGGCAGCTGGACCACTGGATCACAATGTAGCTAAAGTATTTCAAAGAGAATAAGGAGAATGCAGACAAGCTAAATTATGTTTTATCTGTCTTCACTGTGGAAGATGTAGGGCCTGAACTCATTTTTTCAAGAAGGAAATCTGAGGAACTTAGGTAAATGGAATAATGTTAAAACACGGGTTCACCCAATGAAGCTGAACTTTGGGAGATTCAATGTGGAATAAAAAAGTACTTCTTTGCACAGTATATAACGTGTACATTATATAGTACAGATAATGTGGTGTTATTTTAGACTGTATTTTTATTGGATTGTTGTAAACCGCTCAGAGAGTTTTGTCTATTGGGTAGTAGAGAAGACAGAGACAGACAGACATCACTTTCACAAAATGTAGTGATAGCCATCACCTTGGATGGTTTTAAAAGGCAATCAGACAAACTAATGGATGGTGAGGCTTTCAATGGCTATTAGTCATGACAGTTAGATACTACCTACAGGATCAAAGGAAGCATGCCTTTGAAGAACAGTGCCTGAGACACATGACCATGATGATGCTACTGGGCCTGTGTTCTACTTTACCAGCTACCCAAAGAGCTACTTGCAGCTATCTGGCCACTGGGAAAGCAGAATACTGGAGCTGTTAGGCCTTTGCTCTGATCCAACATGGCTCTAGCGTTCCTTAAGTTCTTAGCTCATGAATGCTGCTCTCTTCACTACTCAACATGCTCCAAGAAGCATGAATAGACAGTGATAGCTAGGAGGATAAGCAGCAGAGGCAAAAATCTCTGTGGGTCAGCAGTGGGCCCTTTCCAAAGGTGAGGTCCTTGACACATGCCAAATGATGCCAGACCTGCCCAGATCACATACAGTAGAATGGAAGCTGAGATAGATACACAAAGGCTCCATTAACTAATTGCGATTCAGGTGTGTGGTACTATTTTCAAGAAAGACAAGCTCTGCAAAAGCTGTTCTTCCTGGTAAAGGCAGCTGGGTGAAAGGATCACAGCTACATATCACACTGAACTCCTCTTTTCAAAACACAAGAAGACAGAAAACAGCTATGCTATGTAAACATCAGGATTTATAGCACCAACAGCAAAGGACAAGAAAGACTGATGGGCTTCCCACAAGTATTTCTTTTTGTAACAAAAATCACTGAAAGGAACTTTTTCAGCTAACAAATTCCAACCAAAGAAGCATGTCCAGCCCCCTCTAAGGACAATAAAAGGACACTGGAAATTTAACAAATTTTAGGTAAAGCACAATTAATTTTAACTAAATTACAGACACTCTCCGTGTAACAGAATTTTCATTCTCTGATATAGCTAAGCATTTTGGTAAAAGCATTAAATAACGGACTTTCAAATGCAAAAGCAGTCTAGAATTACCATCAGATGAAGATATTTCCATCTCTTTTCTTTCCTGGACTGGGCTCAGCGCATGTCTGATTTGGGACTAGTCATACTGAGCTAACAAACACCACATGAACACTTCACCAAGGCAAGATTTCCTGCTTTTGTTCTCTGCATGGTTCCAGTTCTTGTGCCAATTTGAAACATGTGAAAACTGGAACAGAATTATCACCAGGGCACAGCCTATCAATGTTTGCTTTTGTACAGTCCTTGCTCTGTTGCACAGAGAATGCCTATTTCTATCAGAGGCACAGCTACAGCTCAGACTGCAAGTTTCTATGGTGAAAAAAAAACTACTCTAGAACCATCTAAAGCACAAACAGGAAATGATGCTTCCCTGGCAGGGAAGTTATCAATAGTCTACGTGCCAATCGCCCCTTTTTTGTTTTGTGCATTCCACAAAATTACAAAACTTACATTTTAACTAACAGTCTACAGGGTGAACAGTTGATATAAACCCAGAGAAAAACATAATCCAGTTCAAGCTAGGGATGCTTGCAAAATTCTATCTTCCTATAAGAATAGGTGCAGAATTGATTTTAACTGCAATTTTCAGACTTACATGCAGATCTCAGCTGTCCACCACCTCTTGCCA